GAAGCTTGACAATGTTTATTTTTTGATGGTATTTCACCAGTCATTAATTAACAGCTAAATTTCTAAATAAATAATATGACATTAAGCTAACATGTCACCTTCTTTTTTCTTACATTTAAACAGTTCTTCTGTACTTCTGATTTCAAGCAATGTACCCTTGAGTTGTTCCCTGATGTGATTTAATTTGTGTAAACTATAGGCATAGGCCTCTATCACCATCAGCAAGTTACTCCAGTATTGTAATGGGCAGTTTTTCGGGTTTTTTACCTGAAAGCAGTTTTTGGATATGGTTTGGAGAGAAGCTAAGTTATGTTAAAAGGGTCGATTTGATCTCAAGCTGTGTAATCTAGATTTGTATCTGTGGTTTACAACCCAATGGTAGGCTTCACATGAATGACCTGATGGTAGGCTTCTCAGGAATTATCCAATGGTAGGTTCACATGAATGACCTGATGGTAGGCTTCTCAGGAATTATCCAATGGTAGGTTCACATGAATGATCTGATGGTAGGCTTCTCAAGAATTATCCAATGGTAGGTTCACATGAATGACCTGATGGTAGGCTTCTCAGAAATGACCTGATGGTAGGCTTCACATGAATGACCTGATGGTAGGCTTCTCAGGAATGATCCAATGGTAGGTTCACATGAATGACCTGATGGTAGGCTTCTCAGGAATGATCCAATGGTAGGTTCACATGAATGACCTAATGGTAGGCTTCACAGGAATGACCTGATGATAGGCTTCACGGGAATGACCTGATGGTAGGCTTCTCAGGAACGACCTGATGGTAGGCATCAACCTGAGATACTACTCTTCAAAACCGGAGAAAGAAGGTATTTTTTTAACTACGGTAGGATGTATGTATTGATGTGTGTAGTGGAAAAATTTAAATTGAATAACATGGATAGATTTGATAGAATTATAATATTATTTTGGCTACAATTTTCTGGCTTTATTCAGAGTTAAACAAACATAAAGAGAAAGTCCTTTGTATTTTTTAAGAACTGTTGATGTTGGTACAAAGTTTGTTTTGATTATAAATTTGGTATGTTATTTTATGTTATAGTTTTGGTATGTTATTTTGTGTATGTTATTGAATGATGATTGTATGTCAAGGATGATTGAAATGTGAGGAAAGACTAATCAACATAAAGTACTCAAACCTTTTAACTGAAACATAATACAGTGATAGAAATCATTGATGTCATGTAAACATTTGCTGATAAACTCTTGAAGAGCTGAAGTTTTATTTCAGTCAGACGACAGTTGTTACAGGTTTAGAGTGTTTTAATGAAACATGAAGATGATGATGATAGTTCAGTCTCAAGATTTAAAACCGTCAAAAGTTATTGTCTTGTTTTTGCAAGTTGTATTATTATTGTTCATTATTAGGAAACAAAGTGGATGATATGGAAATCACAATCAGATTAATTCAACAACAATCAAGAATTTGAATTAAAATGATGAAGTCTGTGACAAACATTTCTATTTTTGTATCAGCCATGTGCGTCTGATCCAAGGTGTGGCATCTGCTAAAAGAGTTTTTAGTGCATTTTCCTACATGTACTACATGATTTATTTAAACATCCAAACACAACACTGATTGTTATTTGTTATTTTCTCAATATTGTTATATTGAACAAATTGTGGTCATGGGTTCTAATTTCATTTGGCATGTGAAGTCGGGTGACCTTACATAAGTCATATTTCCTCTTATTCCATTCGGCCCAGCTGTAAATGGATACGAATAACCCAGGAAAGTTTAATGCTGAGAGAGATTTGGCTAAGGACCTGCTGGTAGAAAGGATCCTTTTGAACCAGAGTTGTTATCCTTGTCTGATGTTTGTTTATTTCTTTTCTTTCTATCCTGATGGTGATAGAAATCTTATCTTAAACTGGTCATATTAACTTTAATTCACAGAACAGTAGGAGATAAATTTATAAATCTTTCATTATCTCAGACTCTACTAAAACTTAATAAATTGGTTGAAATGAAATTGGTTCTATATAGTTTAATCCGTCCATATTAGCAGAATTCTGGCTGATAAATAGATTGAAGAAATGTTTCATCAAAGAAAAAGGGAATCCTGTAAGTGTTGTTAAGTGGTTATCTCTTTAGACAATTGGTTGGATTGTAAAATCTTAAAACAGAAGATATTTACAGCAAAACAAGGTTTAGATGATTAACACTACAGTCTTGGACGGCATGGCAACAAGTATCATACAGTTCTTGGCTGGATTCCGTGTGGGAAACGGCCTTGTCTTTTTCTACAGGATCACTTCCTAGCTAGAGGTCGGGTATTAACTTTGAAATTGCTGAAACAGGGTTACTTGACACACAAACTTCAAATGTCATTTAGGAATTTTATGGAGAACTCCTTCATAAATACAATACATCTGCTTCTGGCATTTTGGCTGATTTGTTTGGTCAGACATGAATTGACCTGGTTGTATCTCATGATATTGACCATTTCAGCAGTGGCGGGTGGAGCAGACTATGCCTACTCTTCGATGGTACTTCTGATTGCATGGAGCCGTCACTGAACAAAAACCTCAAATAACCTTGAATTCATGAAATCGAAAGATTGTCAATGAGATCAAGCTACAAGGTAGAGTCAAGTTGAAATCTTGATCTAATGGACAGAGTTGATATTTTATGTTAAATTAGTGTTGAGTTATTAACCTATTAGAATCTAGAATGTAGTCAGTAATTAGTAGAGACACTAGTGTCACTGTGTATTCTATCAAGTACTATTTTAACCATTTATTTCTTCAGTACATGTTAACATTTTATGGTTTTAGTATAATGTAATTTGCCATGGTGCAGGTGATTCTGCTAAATTTGAAGCAGTGCGTTAAGTAAGGCTCTGACAATTTTCTTGGATTTTGTTTTGTGATGTGAACTGCGATTTTTAAAACCTGTCTTTAAGAAAAACCTAAAAACTTTCTTGTTTATTAGTGCTTGAGTATTACTATTTCTTCCATTCACAGAAATATATTGATCAAGGCACAAAAGAAAATAAAAAATAATTTGAGCCATATAACTATTATTATTATTATTATTATTAAATGAATCTTAAAAGTCAAACCTGTAATGTTTTTTCTTGTTTTACAAAATCCATGATGTAACCATTTGATTTTTTCAGGGTGGGGTTGTAAAGCCCCATACCTAACCCCCCTTCCCTTCTTTAACCAAGTTTCTGAATGACTTAGTGATTGAATCAAATTCAGGCAAAGATAACCTACAGTAGATTGTTGAATTCCATTTATTCATCCCATGTAACTCATCATTACTAGAGAAATTTAGATCAAAAGATTTTTGACATTTATTCACAGTTTTATGGTGACTGGTCACTAATTCTCTATATTGCTACCTTTCAAAACAAATAATAAATCTTTTATAAACCTACACAATGTTATCAGTGGACACCTGCTGGTAGGGTATTCATAACTTATTATACATAGTCACAAAGACTGAAAATACTTCAAATCTTATTAGTATATTGTAGAAAATAGTCACTATATAATAAATGGTGTTATTAATACTACTGAAAATATAGTTAAAGGAACAATCAAGTCCTTTATATCATGTAAGTTGGGTCAAACTGTGCTCTTGAATATGTGATAATCAATTATTGATATATGATAAATTATATATGTAAGGTAAATGAATGATAACTGTTGTCACACATTGTTTATGAAGGAGATTGGGATTTTTTTCATGTTGTGCTCAGGAACAATAGTATAAGTAGTTGGTAGACTAGTTCGATCAGAAGTTCCCTACACCACAAAATATTCATACTCCATTTGTTGGGTCTTGCAATTGCAAATCATCTTGGTATCCCAAATTTTGTGGCAATTGTGAAGCTGAAAACTCCTTCCCTGAACCAGGCTGCACCCTGTTACATTACACATACAAATTGTTTTGTAAAGCAACTACTTTATAAATATTTGTGTTAAATAAGAAACATTTATGAATTCAGAATAATTCCAGATGATCTATGTCTAATTCAAGGGAAAGAAGTCTTGTGATTATTTTTATTCCAGACAACAATGGTATTATGGATGACATATTAAATATTTTGCTCATAGCAGGCTTAATCTTCAAACGCATTTAACTGATGCCATATTTGAGCTAATAGAGTTATAATGATTTTTTTTCAGGATATAATCATTTGTAAATAAGATGGGTTGACAATTTAATTAATATACATAAGATAATATTTACAATATCAAAATATTTTCACTGTTTGATTAATACATCAATTGTCCATTGATATGACTTAAACTCTGAATAACAACATGCTTCAGGCTCTGTTTTATTCTGTCTTATACAATATTAATCATATTGTGGCCAATGATTGTGAAAAACTTAAGGGAATATTAATGAGGCATTCCGTTTTTTTTTTGTAAAACATTTTCATTATCAAAAACGTAGATATTTCTTTAGATTTTGGTTTATAGTTTTCACAATTTGAGCAAAAAAATTTTTCTACCCACAAAAAAAGCAGAATGTCCCTTTAAGTTATATCCTTCAGTTAAAATATAAGGTGTAATATAGATGATATATAATAAGTAGGATATAAGATTTATTTTGTTTATTTTATACTGATTATAGACTACTTAAAATATATTAAATCTTACATTAACTTATATACTACATTAGGTCAATAATATACTCTGTTTAGGTCAGGTGTATACTGTTTTTGGGGTTTATAAGTAAGGCATGGATTTCAATGATTTATAATTCTAACAAAGACCGGGAGCGTATCAATGGACAATGACAGTTTCGAGATTGACTGTGTCAAAGATTGGACATGTATTGACAATATTCTCCCCTGAAATATTGGAGTATATATTTTAAACATGATATAGAACCTTTTCAGGTGATATAAAGAAAATATCAAAATGGAATAAATGTGTTTTCAGTTGGCAGAAGTTTTGGTTTTCAGAGAAAATTTGAGAATCACTACAATGAAAGTTTGACGATTCTTTAACATGGTAAGGGATTAAGGGCTCTTTGTGTATAAAATTATATCAAAAACTTTATTCTATTTGCCATATTTTTGTTTATTACAGGTAAGACAGGTAACTACCATAGTGAAAGATGGAAGTAGAATTCAGGAGAGAGAATCAAGAGAGATAATGGATAATTATAATTTTAGAATGATTACAACTCAGGTATATACAGAATATATATTTCAGTCCATACCACTTCATGTTTGATGTTGTTGTAAGAGAACAGTGTCGACGCCAGCCTCTCAGACTGGGGATGCATATAGCGAGCAGATTTACTGTCAACTGTCTAGGTTGAAATTCAAAATACAGGAGATATGTGTAAGTTTCATAGGCACAAGGTTCAAATGGAGCGTCTGAGAGAGTTCTACACTAAAACAATTTTTAGAAGTGATGGTGCATTTTGGCTAATAAATAGTGCACAATGTTCAAAAATATCTTTGTAAGAAATGATGTTGTGGTACAATTAGATTGACTATGCTTATGGCATGGTCAAAAAATCAAAAAAGAAAAAGCTTATGGGGTTTTCTGGCAAAATTTCTTTGCTACAAACACTGCATGGTGTAATGTTTTTAAGATCAAAAACTTGTATTCTGTTATAAAGTTTAAAAATCAAGTTGGCTCTGCTCTGACTGAAATCATTGCTCTCCACACCGGTGTCTGTTTAAAGGTTTTCCTAATGGTAGAGAATTCCTTGTGTTTCAGAATGATACGAAAGAAGAAGAGAATAAAACTACAAAAACTTTCTTAAACATCAAACATTCCACCACCTCATCTTGTAACCATGGTTCCTCATTAATAAACAAATGCTCCTTAGCTAGTAACCAAGGCTCATCATCTAGTAACCAAGGTCCAGCATCTATAAATCATGTTTCATCATCCAGTTTCCATGGTTCATCATCTGGTATCCAAGGTTCATCATCTGGTAACCAAGGTTCATCACATGGTCGGAGGTGTATTATAGTATTATTAACAACATTCCTGATTGGTTTAGTTTGTGCTACAACTAGTTTGAATTTTACATCTCAACATGTTCAGCTCCATATTGGTCTTCCTCATAATCTTATTAGTAAGTTGACACTTGTATTATCATATAGAGATGCATTGAACAGCCAAGTAATGTGTTTGTATCTCAGAATACTTCTGATTTTTAACAGCATTATCAAAAGGGGTGTCATGGAAAAGAATTTAATAGTTTGTGCAAATTATGAATTTGATTAGGTTCATGCTCGAAATAGTAGCTCCAATATATTAAGGATCATCAAGCCTTATTTATTTTGAAAAGTGTGTGAAATAACTTAAGAATTAAACATGCTCTCCATAATGACGGTTGTATTTACCATTAAAGATACAAAGTGACAAAGTCTGGATACTTTTCAGACTGTCTGTTTAAGAGTAGCTTGCTCTTGTTTTGAATGAACATAGTATTTTTTAATGTTTTTATAGGAAAAGTAAGAATGTATTCTGAAGATCCTGATATAAGAAAATTAAAACTGAATAAAACTGTTTTATCACTGGTTTCTAGATTACAACTCTATGGTATGTCTAAATTTATTATCTTTTATAATAGTAATGTCTCATTCGTGACCTTGCATAGTTTTAAAAAAAGTCACAGTGACCCAAATGTTCTCGGTTTGCAGAATGATGGCACAATTCTTTGCTCTATGAGGTTTCATATATTATAGATCCATGATTTTTTTTAAATTAAGTGATTATGACTTGTTTCGATATGCCAGGTCATGATGGTAACAAAATAGAGTTAATGAGTCACAACTTTTTATATTCAGTGACTTATTGCAGTCGAGTCAATTTTTGAAGTGGGCAATATCTATTTAAATTCCATACTTAGTACAAGATTTTTGAGAATCAGAACCAGATCAAAAAAAGAAAAGAAAAAATATTGTTATAATTAACATAGTCAATACAGTTATGGCAATACAACATTGAACAATACTATGATTTGAACCTTAGTTGGATAAATAAATTTGATACATCTATTATGTAGATAAGAAGGACTGTAAAGAGGATCTTTCTGTATGTGAGACGTATGCTGTGTGTAATGGTAATGGTGATAGTAATGGTAATAGCAATGGATATAGTAATGGTAATGGCCAATCATCTGTAGCCTGTAGATGCAAAAGAGGATATTATTATAATGACAATACCTGTTCAGGTAATATTATATTCATTTTGAAAGTCACATTTATTATTTAGTTATAAATGATAATAACTCTTTGTTTTATGTGAGTCAGAATTAGGTCTTATTACATCCAAGTGATCCTGTTCTGATTTGTATTAAGGACATTTGTCAAGTTTTAGGCTCAGGGATGTTGATTTGGCTCCATTTGCCAGACTTGACCAATGGAGCAGCTCAAATGACTGACTTAGGCTACAAATACCAATTGTGTATGGGACGAGTTGTACAAACTTATCCTGTGGATTATTGTGCTTAATTATAATTAACTGTTTATGTAAATAAGTGTACAGTATAATTATTAATGTTGTTTGTACTCCTTCTTACCCTGAAAAATCTTTCACTGTAAACAATGCACACCTTATCATGACAATAAAATGCAGACACCATTGTAGTGCTTAGTAATATCTATGCATATTCCACAATTCTACCTTACTTACCAAGTTGTGTGCAATATATCTATGTTAAAGATGATTTGCTATATACTATAGGTATCAATATTATATTCTAGAATGTAGTAAATCATGTCCTGATGGATATTATATGACATCATCCTGTACAGCTACAACTGATTCTGTTTGTAAGAGTAAGTCTCTTTAGTTTATAGATGGATTTATCATGAATGAACACTCATCCATTTGACGTCATGTGACACAGTCTATTGATTTCATTAGCTCTCAAAAATTTCCTTTCCATAGATCAAAAGAATATAGAGCTTGTCCTATATTTCCATCAAATGAAAAATATATTTATGTGTGACAAATTTTGTCTCATACGATCATTGGATGGGTCATTGATTCAACTAGTTGCATCATCAACAGACTTTCAGTGATTGAAAAAAGTAAAGTAGTAAAGTAAACTATAAGTGATGTTGGTTGAGAATATTACAGATTTATTTTTTGCAATGTAAAATGTCCTGCTCAAGATAATGTAGGTCTAAAAGTCTGTATATGTCTATTATTTTTTTAGAATGTACATCTTGTCAAAGATCTCAGTATGAAGCTGCTGTTTGTTCAACAACTAAAGATACAGTATGTGTAGGTAAGTAATATAATCAGGATTATGTTAAAGTTCGCCATTTTGGGAGTTGCTTTGGATCTTGAATATTTGTGAATAGTCTTCAGAACTACTAGAACTTAAATAGCATAATCTCTTCAAATATACTTCAAACAACATATCAAGAAAAGACGAGTCGTCATTTTCACTGTCAAATGCAGATAATTCTGGTACACATGGGTTTGAAGGCTCAAAGTTCGACAGTGAGATATGAACACTGTTATTGATTCGCTTAGTTTATATGTAAAAGTCTGACAATCTTAAGAGTTGATTATAGTAACCGGGTAAACCTTTCATTTTCAGATGTATCATTTCCTGTGGGATTTGTACCACCAAACTCTACCACTTCTTCTGGTAAGATTAACATTAGTCAATCTTTATAATGTCAAGCTATTACAATACAAATCAGTGAACAGTTAATTAACTCTATTATAAGATCTGAACAAGAACTTTCATTTAAGAAACCCTTGATCTGGTGTGTACAAAACACATCACACACTTTTATATCCTTCTAAACCCAGGTAGGAATGAATCAGTCATGAAGATGCCCACATACATTACCTAGTATGCAGTGGTGGAGCCAAATGGGGGGCAGAGGGGGTAGTTGCAGCCCCGAAAGCAAGTTTTTAGTGCAAAAATCTCATTACTAGATAAGAGATCAGACAATCTCTGATATCTCGCCCCCTCTCTGACGTAAACCTGGCTCCGCCTCTGTTAGTATGCTGTCACTGGTTAGACGTACTTTTACTAATTTAATATCCATTTATTTTCAGATGGGACTAATATCAGTATGACATCATCATCTAATGTGTTTATTGAAAGATTAAAAGATATGAAAGAATTAGAGACCACTATGTATATCACCAATAATCAACAGTCACTAGATTTTGTATGGAAGCGTGAGTCTGGATTAGAGATTAAGATTAGTGTATCAGGAGTTTATCTGGTGCCAGAGTACGTAGATCTAGATCATGAAGATGATGGTTTATATTTCCTACATTTTGATAAAAACGTCTCAGAAGAAATGAAGAAGAAGTATTCTCATGTAGCTGAATATTATTGTAGGTAAGAAAGCATTAAGTAAGAAACAACCAGTTTTACAAAGCTCATACTGACTATGCTTCGAGCCGTTTCTTGAAGGAATTCAGATTGCCAACATACATGTGAAATCTTATGAGCATGTGTATGAAATTGTTCATTTGATCTTCTACATTGGATATTGATCTCATTTTTTTCTACCTTTTTTAGCAACCCGGTTTCCCCTGTCAGTGATACAAGTCGTGTTATTCAAATGACACAATAAACTGGGCCGTGTATGCTATAGGCTGTGAAAGCTAAAGATCATTTGAGAATCCCAAATAGTCCAGGCAAATATTTTCTAATTGCACATGATGCATGACGATGCCTGTCTATCAGTTGTAGAATATGAAGACTATCCGGTTCATGTTAGTTTTGATTTAATTCTAATTTTATAATGAACATATTTAACATGATGTTTCAGACACCCCATACCAGATTATTACTCTATACATTTTGATATTATAAAGAACCGTATATCACAAGCTGAAGAAGTGGCATGTAATTCTAAAGATAGAGCGAAGATCCGTTGTCCTAGCAACTATCAAGATGGTCAGGTGTATTTAAAACGACATATTAATGAAATATGTACCAAATATCAGGTATGAAATTTTATATGTTCGTTATCTTCAAAATGTAATGTTAATACAGCAATTTGATTGGATTGTAGGGTAGGTTTAAAGATAAATAACCTATATTGTTTAAAGTCTTTCTGTTGCGTGTTCTGATTGGCTACATTCAGTAGCGTATGATTGAATTAAATCACTAATATAATTCAATCATACGCTACTGAATGTAGGGATCAGAACACCCAACAGAAGAGTGCCCAATGATGTCAAGGTATAAGATTGACATTGACAGGATTGACAGGATAAGAGTAAGCTTAGCACTGGCAGAGTTTCAGAGTTCCTTTCAACAGAAAGTTCCTTTAAATCATTCTGTTGAAATGAAAGCCCTTATACACTGTTTGGGATTTATGTGTGGGGACACTAATAACACTAATTTTCAGTCAGACGTCTGTGGTTTTTGCAATTCCACTGAAACTGTTGCAAAAGCTGTTATATTATCGAAGAACCATTCAGATAGTAACATAATAAAATACCTAGTTTGATTGAAATTTCCTGAATCTGAGACGCCTTGCTGAACATTTAGATAGTGCAAATCCACGATATCAGTATCTCCGATACACATAAGAAGTTTAGAAAAACCTCTTTATAATCCTATATGTACATCATTCTGTATATCACCAATCAGTATTTCTCTTGATGGTTTAGTGCATGAATTTTTCAATTTTCAAATGATATTTTTGAAATTACTATTTGTTCTATTTCAGACTAATCGTAGAAAGAAGCTAGTACAACTACATGATGTGAACGCTAATAATATTATATGTGACGAAGAAAATGATATATTAACAGAAGTTTTTGGTAAAACTATGCCAGAACCTGAAAGGATGTCATTTCCTAGTGCTGAATGTCGACAGTATGGTAATGAATGTCATAAATGTTTAGATAAGAACATCTGTACCAATAAAAGTAAGTGGAATTTTGAATATGCATCAATATGTAGTCTGAATGCTCATCAGGCCCGACTTGATTGTGAAGGGGCGAGTAATATATGCGGAGGGGAAATGGTGTATGGTGTTTAGTTAAGGTGTATAATAAATACAATGATATAACCTACCCTATAAAGGTGTTTTAAATTAAGGTAACTAACTTAATGATGAGTTGAAATACCAGACCAAGAGAAATCTGAAAATGAAAGGATGATGTAATTTATATAATGTAGGATATATTTGAATGATAAATGAATTATTCAATATAATTCGAATGTCTAAATGTAATACTGTAAACGTTATACTATTGTAACACAAGAACCAAGATGGCTGACATATGGTAACCAAGGTACACAAAAAATATAAACTATGAAACTATAACATACCTTATAATAGAAAATAAAAATAACTAGAATATATTGAAACAGTATCTGGTACAAACACTAAATCATAAGTCTATTTTTACATGATATTGAAGAGGATTCAATATACAGACAATATCCACTAGTCTCCAATTGACATAGAAACATAGAAATCTGCCCTTTCAGTTGCAAAACAATGTACTGAATGAAAATCAGGTTGTCCCCTAAAAAAAACAAATTAGCAGAGGTCAGAGTAAAACTTAGAAAGTTTGAGGGATGAAAGTTCAGAGACAGAGAAAGATATAGGTAGAAATAGAGGCAGTGAGGTGTGACTTTAACTGGTTGTAAGATTGTTACTGTATCTGAAAATAACTAATTAAACAGATTTCATTTAACCCTTTAACAATGTAGCAGATTTATTCAAATGTGATTAGGGAATGTCATGTGCAGTCTGCACATAAGTACAAAAAACTATACATCCAGAATGTAGTGGAAAATTTATTTCCAATTATGGCTGCCGTTTCCATTTTTGTTGAAAAAAAATAAACAGTTCTTTACTGCTAGAATTTTCTTTGTCAGTTGATGGCCAGTCAAAATGCTAGCACTAGAACTGTGATTCCCAAATTCTTGTATAAAACAACATATGTATAGTCTGTACTCAGTATTCATGCCCAGAGTCTGGATAATATGCTCTCCCTAATTGCATGTGATTTATCCCATTTTATAATTGTTTGTATATAATTGTTTGTATATAATTGTTTGTATATAATTGTTTGTATATAATTGTTTGTATATAATTGTTTGTATATAATTGTTTGTATATAATTGTAGCGTATGGTGAAGAATGTTGTAGTATAAAATGTTATGGTAATAGTAATTGTTTACAGTATCATAGATCAACTTGTCCTCAACCTCAAGTAGAATGTGCTAAAGGTATGTACTATACAAAATATAAAATATTATCAAGATGTTTGAATAATGCAGCCAATAGAGGCTACGGTCACATTTGAAACAATGACCAAACTTGAAGTGTATTTTTTTCAGATATGTATTTTAAATCCACCTAGAACCCCCTTTACCTTAATGTTACTATGGTTTATGGTACTACAGCCTTGATGATCAAACACTGGTCACTAGAGAGGCCACACTTCTTCAAGATCTGAAAGTTAACTTTTTCAAATCTGGCTAGGAATGTCTAGAATTTGTTTAGATTTGCTACTTTGTGATCAACTGGTTAACATTTTGTAAAATCATTCAAGTTATAACATTAATATGTTCTCCTTCTTTCAGGCAATATCAACCAATTTACCTTGACACCATTTTATGAGAAAATATCGGAAAGATTCATGTGTCATTTAAAATACAAGAAACCCAAATATCTCTACAATGTTTCTTATTCTATACAAATACCAGACTATAAATATGTTTTACCAGAACAGAATTTCAGTTTTACGACAAATAGCTTGCAATCTCACCAAACTCAAAAACATAAAATAGATTTTTTAAACATCATGCACGATACACGATATAAACTAGAGGAGGAGGTGATTGTTATAGGGAAACATGAAGATTATAACGAACAAATGGGAGAATTTCAGTTTCATCCTCTCAAAGATCAGGATGAATTTAACACAGGACGAGGATTTAAAACTAAACAGGATACATTCTTCCGATACTCCACATTGGTCCAGTTTTATCGTCCATTTGGCTATAGTTCATCAACTTGGTACAAAGATGGCTGCCTGAAAAACTTATCTAAAGTATTTCCCAATCAAACCCAGTATAAATCAACCTCCATACCTGTTACAACTAAAGTATTAAATACGAAGAAAGAAATGCAGTATCAGATGTACCGAAGTAAAGATTCACCTATTGTTAAACTTACTATTGATGGTTAGTAACTTTATTTTATTTGTTTTTCTTTAGGAAGGGAGATTTGAGATCAATCAGTAGACGAGAGGAACTAGCTGAGCTGCCTGCCTCGCGAAGCTCAGCTTTTTACCCCATAAGTGTTGAATTTTTAGTGAGATTTAGACCTCAAGAGGCAGTGAGGAAATTATCTATCCTGTATTATATTTTCTGCTTTGAGAAGTCAGAATTCACAATGTGAACCAACAGCAACTCATCCTGTGAACCTATAGAAATGTGTTGACAGATCAACATGGCACATCTCATGAGTTGTTTGAGGTGTTTTAAAGCAATCTGTCTTGAAGAACTGTCGTGTTTGTGTTAAGATCAGTTCAATATGACAATCTTGATAATTACAGGTTTTATTTTATTTTATAGAGAGAGAATCTATCTTATCATATTTTCAATCTAGTGGTACACCCACTGTTGTTAGATCTACTACTCTCCAAGGTGCTGTTACCTGGAACACTCCCATGCAATATTGGACCATCAGAATATCAGGTATAACTTATAATTTAACATAGATTGCTGGTTGACAAAAAAACCATAAACTAGTGTCTTCCCATTATTCCTATTTCACTCTCCTTCATTTTGTCTCCACTTCATTATGGCCAATTTTCTCTTTGTCCTATAAGAAATTATGCTTGTTCCTGGTTCGAATTCTGGTTAAGTCCAGTATCTTACTTATTGAGTGGAATTGCAGACTCGGTTCCCCTTTGTCAGACTGCCCATTTACTTTTAAATTAAATTTTCAGGATCACTGTACAGTTGCCCTGGAATCTTAATCATAGAATTATTCGATAAACTACTTGTTAACAGTTTTGGTGTTTTTGATGTTTATGTTCACTGTGGTGGTGAATTTTGGATCAATTTTAATGTGGACAGTGAGAAAAGTGATCTACCTGATGTATTTATTGTTCATATTAATGATTCTGTGGCCACACACCAACTTGTACTATCATCAATTATCTCCCCTAGATCTGTTTCCGTGGCTGATAAAATGAAAACCTCACTGGCGGTACGAGAACAAATTATGACAGAGTCTCCTCCGTGGGTCACGATTTTGATATTTATTGTAATGACAATTGTTCTATTATGGGTCATGTTTATATTTTACATGTGTTTTACTGTTCGAGCTCCACATAATTATGAAAGAACAGACAAACAAGCAGAAATGACTGTTTTAAACCCAGAAGAAGCAGAGAAAATGTTTCAAAGTGAAATTCAACCAAAACGTAAAAGAATGTCCGTATGTGTTATGTATCTATTTGTGATATTGTATATAGTGTACTGTGTATTTTTAACTTTTTCTGTCAGTTTTGGAATTCTGTTTGCTTATCAGAAGTCAGTGTTGCCAGATTTAACCCAACTCAATGATTTTAGTGATCGTTTAGAAAAACGTGTCAATTTGACTCTTCAAGATCTAAAATTAACAGAAATCAAAGAAATGAATGATATTCATAAACAATATAAAAGTCGCGAACGTGCGTGTAAACATCATTTACATCAAACAGCCAAGTCATCAGTTCATGGTTATGCTCAAGTCACGCATAAATATCTAGAAGCAATATATGTTCAAAATGGATCTTTGCAACATCACGTGGAAAAATATTTTGAGATAGAAAATCATATGGTGGATGAAATTTTGAATGGCTACGTTAAAATTTTAAACAAAACAATGAGACAAGATCTGAAACATTTTCTAAGCATGTATAAATATTTTCTGATATCTGTCATTGATAATAGATGGTTGGATTTCCCCAAGGATATATTTCTGGGAGATGGTGATAAGATGAAACTAGGTAAAGAAATGACAGAAAATCAGATTAAAAAGTTTGTATCCTGGTTACAGATTGATAAAGCAGAATCTCTGATGTCTGTTACTGACCATGTAACAGCAAGGTACCTCTAATATTATATACCCTAAAATTTCGCAAAATAATTATGAAATGGTCTTTAACACTTGTTTCTCCAAAAAGCTGAAAACAGTTGATCTGATATCTCTTTTAGGTTTTTGCAGGCTTAAAATATTAGTACTCTTTTAAGAACTGTGCTTGACACAATGGTAGTTTAATGTTGCAAGATGGATATCATCCAATTCATTTTGAATAATTCCAAGCAATTTTGGCAACATTGGCACTGAAATGCCATAACATGGGATCTGTTTATCATCTGTTTCTTATTATTTCAATTTTTATTTTCAGGATTCTGGAAATGGCACCAATATCTGAGGACTACCAGCCAGAAGATTTTCTAGAACCATATTTACCAAAACATTCTCATAAAATACCAACATATTCAATGAAATCTCAAAATTTCTTATATCAAGTGATCAATGAAAATAATACTCATTTTAAACGCCATGGAATCCATTTTGATTCTGGATCCAGTAATACAACTAGCGATAAAGACCTTGAATCCAGTGATTATAATATTGTTATGTATTTATTTATTTGTTTATTTATTATATTGGATATTATACTGTGGTGTTATCGTCTATCGTGGTTATGGAAACAAATCAAAATGTCCAAAGTGGGATACGAGGTAAAAATTCCAACTGATGAAAGTTCGCGGAAAATTCATATTTTATTAACAGGTCAACATCCACCATCAACTGTAGACATTGAAATAGAAAATGCATTTAAATACTACAAAGAAAACGCTGCCAAAGATCTGGCCTCAGACAATGAATTTGGAATGTCGTTTATTCAAAATTATCCAAAGTGTAAAGAAGACATTTTACGCGATATCTGGGCGTATAAAAAGAGCCAATCATCAGCTTCAGTTCCAAAAGCCAATGATTTCTGTTTGAGTGAATGTATGACAATAATTCATTGGATTCATCGTTCAGTGTTATCCAGATTGACCTGGCGTTCAGCGTTAAGTATTGGTGCGTTAGTGTTAGTTTGTTGTTTAATATATGCCGTTGATAATTGGTTCAATCAAGCTAATATTGAGGTATTAGTGGGAGCAGATGTGGTAGTCACAGAATTACAATGGCAGACGGTCATGATTAACAGACATTTGGCAGAAACCGTTGATAAATTAAATCTATTATTATTAAATATGAAAGAAACAGTTGATGGAGATATTAATTATGTTAATCAACTTTTAGCTGATACATTTCATAAACAGGTAAGTTGTATTGCCCATCATATCACTATGTGATAACTATCAAGATATATAGACTGTGATATATAGACTGTGATATATAGACTGTGATATATAGGCTGTGATATATAGGCTGTGATATATAGGCTGTGATATATAGGCTGTGATATATAGGCTATGATATGAGGTGTATCACGATATAGGCTAATAGATAAAATGTAAACTTTCAATGATATTGATCTTTTCTAATTCATACATACGCCCTACATTTATACACAGATAAAGTATTCAACGGATCTTAAAGATCATTCCCCTCTAAACCCCTTTATCTTGTCATTATCCTTCAGTCCCTTTTAGATGGGGTTTCATTGTTCAGAGGCACAAGTAATATACCTGGAGGGTCAAGGGGGTGTGGTGTTCACTGGTAGTGATGGTATGGGTCAGCCGGAACAAATTTTCAGTTACGGGCCTGGGTTTGACTGTAAATTGATTGAGTTTTTTTATATGTTGTTTTGTATTGTATGTTTCAGACACGTTATATATTAGATATATTACTATCTGTTTGTAAGAATTCTGGTATTAATGATTGTAATATTGATATTAATATGTTATTACAATCAGCCCCACCCCCACCAATATCATCATGTAATTTTCTACCTCTACAACAACATGTTATTGATGGTAAGTAGGCCTATCTATAGTACAATGTCTATTTTGATTATATTGTTTAGATATACTGTGATAAATCGTCGTTTTTACAACTTAAAGCTTAAAACTCCATTCATTTCATTTCATTTTTTATTAACTGACAGATAAGACACAATAGTTTATCTGTACAGGGAGAACTGTCTTTATTTATCTGAAGGATCCACCTTGTGCCATGCTAAGAAATTTAACCTTAACTTAGGATTAAGAGCCAATGACTTGTTCACTCAACATGAGTAAATATATTTTTGATTCCGTGTCAAATGACAATGTAATTCATATACTTTCAGATGTTGATACAGCTCAGATTACAGCGTTAGTTATAGAAGAGTTATCACCCTTGTTGAAGACAGTACGTGGACTGGTATTCTGTATATTGACATATTTAATATTTGTATTATGTTTTATTTTATTGTGTAATGCTGGAATTCGGCTAGCTAGATATTATTTATTAATTATGGGCAAATTTCCCATTTTACAAATTTATCAAATTAGTGACTCGTTGGCGACATATGCTGATGCTGCCGTAGATGATCATCAACATATTTATCGTAGTGCATCTTTAAGTTGTGAGAGTGGTGTTTATGTTGGTGAAGCTGAGGATTCGAATAGAGAATAGACAATGTATTATCTTTAATTGAATTAATTCAGATGACTGCTGTGAGTTGAGATATGGTTTCATTCTTCTATCAAAGGATTACATAATTATCAAAGGGTTGCACATGGAATCAGAACACGTTCCATGTATACACAAAAAAAACGTGTAGACAGAATGACAGAGAAAGAAATGGATGGGAATACTTATCTTCTTCCATAACGCTCGATTGAGATCAAAATTGGAACACACAGAACTCTCAAATTGAGTGCCACCCTAGTGTCAGAAGCTGGGTCCTGTTTTACAAAAAACTTTCGTTTTTTTCGTATTGTTTTTGTATTTCTCATTGTAAAATTCCACAATTACAAAAATTGTTATCTAAAGATTTTTGTTAGCAGTTCCCTGTTCCTAATTCCAGGGCACTGCGCTCTGAAGATTGTGATGCCACAATATTCGACCATTCATAACATACCTTGCTATCACTCTCATTTTGAAACAGACTTAGCCTAAATTGGATAATGTTCCAATGGTACTCTACAAGGCCAAAAATGTTTTAATACAAATTACTGAAAGTGTTTAAGATACACAATCCTCAGCAGGACAGCTGGTTTTAGATATGAAGGATAAAGTATTATATATTATACTGATATTATGTAATATAACTAGTCAGTACATCTTCATAATATCAAGCTATTACCAACTTATACCTTGACTGCAGTAGTCACCGTTTTTGTATCACAGAATGCAGCCATTTGATTGGACTGTTTGCTACTGAATACAGTGAGTCTGAGCCCAGACAGAAAGTCTGTAAACCATAAACCATACATGCCTTATGTCAAGAGCTCGGTATTTCCTTAGTGTACAATACGATCAAATGGTTTTATTCTGTAATACAAGAAACGTGGATATTGCAGTCAAGGTATTAGACCCAGTTCATAATAGCTTGAAATTGTGAAGATGTAGTCCGTCATAATGTATAATATTCATTCATGTCTCTGTGTACATTTTCATTATCTAATCTCATTTTATACGTCCCTCTGATCACCCCCCTTCTCCCCTCAATTAAACTTATGTCCAGTGTTTCTATGTTTCTCTGTGCTCTCTAATATTGTATAGTGCTACTTGTGATATAGTTTGTGCAATATAAATACAAAGATCTTGTACATAATTATCCCAAATTATTTTAAATTTTCTATAACATTGCTGGAGGTCCTCTCCATCACTTAGTGTGGACAAAACATTGATTAATAAGGTACAAGGGCTCATCAACGCCAAAATTCAAACAGTTGTAGTTTAATTAGAAATCAATTCAAAATGGAAATTATCAATTCTATGAAGGCCAGAATGGATTTTCGTATTGTAACTGTTCAACATGTCTCAATCAGGGTTTTGCACAGCATTGTAATTGACAAGAAATCCCCCAGATAGTGATTTTAAATGTAAATAAATCCAATTTTAACATGTATATAGTCAGCCTCTATCACCCAGTTCCTCTTTGTTTACACTAGATGTGATGCAAGGAGAGGTCTGGGTGTCAGAGACTAGTAAATAGTGCTCATTATGAATGGAATATTTGAATTATTGTATAAATTGAATGGTAATCATTATGTTTTATTGAATAAAAGTTGTTATAATTTAGTTATCGATTATTATTATTATTATGTTACCTTTGTTAGTTCATTGTATTTCTTTGTTTTAATTTGTATTAAATATATTGTGATATTACATTGATTATTAGTTGTAGTTAGTTACTGAAATGTACGGAGCCCCTAAGGCGCAATTGTAAACATATTTATTTATTATTTCGTTTAAACGAATTAATCATTTCGTTAGAACGAAATGTTATTTCGTTTAAACGAATTAAATTATTATTTCGTTTAAACGAAATAATTAATTCGTTTAAACGAAATACCCTACTGTTTATTTCGTTTAAACGAAATAAAAAGATGGGTTAATTATTTCGTTTAAACGAAATAGACGAAAAAATTAATTCGTTTAAACGAAATAATAAATAAATATGTTTACAATTGCGCCTTAGGGGCTCCGTAGAAATGAACAGGCTTTAATCCTTTATAGAATGGAATAGTTACCCCTTGATGAAAGCATTGGTGTTTATAGGAAACATTTGGTTGGGGTCTGAGGCAGGCCACAAAAATAAATAGCTTCACAATAATAAATTGCTTATCAAAATTTTCCTATCTTAATTGAACCCTGCTCAGATTTTGTGAAAATTAGAACTCATTTCTACCAACTTTGCAGCGCCAAAAACCAATTTTGGCTGAACTGAAAAGGGTTTGCTGAAGCTAATTCTCACTTGCAGGTGCCATTAAATAAATGGTGTCCTATTCAATTGATCCCCTTTTTGCTTACCACATCTTGACATAACAATTACTACATATATGATAGTTTGATTAATTATAAGACAGAAGATTGTAGAAACAAACCAATTTGTGGATATCTTTGAAAGCACTCCACCATCATGCTCTTATTCATGTGTCACAGGAGTTTGTTAATGCTGCAATTTGATTAGATTGTACGCAACCTAATATATCAAATCAGAGCCTCAACAAAAAGTACAGTAAATAGTATGGCTCATTGGCATAAAAAAAGACAATTATCTAATATTTTTGGTTTTTATTTTTTTTAAGTTTTTTGATAAACATCTCAACATGATACAAAAAGTCTCATTTGGACAAAATTTTGAGACATATTTACATCCAACAACGAGAGAATAAGATTTTCACTGAGGGGGGGAGGGTGCTGCACGTTTAAAAATAGAGTCTAAATGACATTCGACAACCTCTATAGTTGTGTAGGAAAAGATAACTCCTCCATTTCTCTTTGTACAAGAAATAGATCCCTAAATCATATCGCTCTTAAAACTAAGCTGGCTGAAGTTGAAATATTGAAACATAAAATATTTACTATATACCACAATCATATCAAAACCATTCTTACACCTACGCAATTTCAACTTGAACTTCAATACCTGAATAACTGTTTGTACATCTGACTATATCTCAAGATCAAATTTTACAGTTTCAATGCAAGCATTAACATTTTTTGTTATGATCATCATATACATCAGACCTCAGTATATCAAAAAAAATCGTGCATTCCTTTTTTTTTTTTGAAACTACTATTTCTCAATAACATTTGAAACTGAGGACAAATTTTCATCACAATATTTTTTAAGAAACCAGGGCCTGGACAGCATATTAAGCAAAGCTTTGCAGGACATTTAGGATAGATCAGATATTTTGCCATGTTTTCATAGATGATTAACTGTGTCCTGAAAGCCATATTCACAACTGGACATTTTGAACCTATAGCAAGCTACATCATTTTTGAAAATAGTCAAAACAGAGCCAAAGTTAAAATTGTGCAGATAGATTATTGTATGGTAAGACTGTCTTACAATTAAAGATTGGACAAAAAACCTTTGTGGTCTGTTTTTTATCATGACACGATTCACCCAAAGATAATTTCAAATATTTCTTCAGGTGATCTGATCTGATATAAGTAATTCAATGAATTGTCATCTTCAGTCATGCTAAAGGGATTTGGAGCAGACCAAAAAAAAAATAAATATCTCCACAGACTGATTTTTATAACTTCTCAATTGGTTAAAATAATCTTTTTCTGACAGCCAGCTGTAAAGTACTCAATATCAGAGCCAGAATGACAAGAATTGGAGTTATTTCCCTTGTCTACTAAAATCAAATAATTTTCCAATTTAATTTACGAAATAAATCTGTAAATGATACAACTTCAGTACACAATCTCCATCTGAACTCTTGGGGGAAACAACCTAAAGAGGAAAAATAAAAATATAACAAAGAGATCAAATATAGCTTGCCTTTATATTAACAATTGTTGTAATCATAATTTAATTCAAAATGGCCGACAGACAGAGAGAGATGATCAATAGAAGAGGAATAGAGTAGACTGGAGAACTGTTGAGAGAAAAGGGTTTGCCCTATCTTATTAAATTTTACGAATGCAAATGACGTTAAGATTTTAACAAAAATTAAGTTGGTATGAGTTAAAATCATAAATATTTATCTATGATATCTGTAGATAGAGAATTGACACCACGGTCACTGACAAGTCACCAAACAAAAATAATCTTGAGTCCATTCATCAACAGCACACATAACATCCACAATTTAAAGTTAGTTCACTTTTTAAGGCTTTATAAGCAGATTTTGTTGATAGCTTTTAAAGCTGCAACTTTTGTTAACATCCTCCTTGCAGAATGGAATGGCAAAGGTGGGTGTATCTTTATATTTTCAGACTCCGCCTCTTACAGGAAGCTGGGTTATTGTTCGGACAGTTCGTAAGTTTATTCCTGATTTCCGCCATCAGAACACTTTCATATTATCAGCACTAAACATTCACTTTATGGTCTTGTACATCATTTCACATTCTTCACACTTTGAGTTTCCACACCTCTTTGAATTTTTAAATTCCTTTCATGCGTCTGTCTGCACCAATCGTAATGTGGATGTTTATTTTGAAGGAAGAATCTAATTATAGTAACATATTGATGTCACTAAGTAAGTTTCTTCCTTTCAGCAGCACTGACGATTTATTTAATTTTCGCACCAAGTTTGAAACCATTTCTACTCATTGTTTTACTCTATTTCCGTAAATCCAGCACAAACACCTATAATAAAATATACAAATATAAACAGTTTTTTAATATATATACGATATTGTCCAATACAAATAATACTTTATGTAAACAAAATAACAATCATCATCAGTACAATCTTCACAAGATAGATTACAAAAACTATTTTGTGGTGCAATGTCAGAAAGATGGCATACATCCACCACAGTTAGTTTGTTGTTTATAACTTATTTATAAACAGACCTTGCCTCATAGATGGAATATATTAGCATATGGAATAGATTGAAACTTACCGAACCATCTGAAGCACTGGCACCAACTTTATCACCTCTATGATTCCAACACACCTCAAATATTCCCCCTGTACCTCGATAACTATGAACTAAACTGCCACTCTGTAATTATAATATCAATCAATTAGCTACTGATATCAATTGGTCAATTAGCTCAGGTATGTTAAAGATTACCTCTGGTATGTTAAAGATTAGCTCAGGTATGATTTTTGTGACACACTATAAACTAAATTCATATTATCTTATTATATTTCTATCTAATTGTTAAAGATTAGCTCAGGTATGGCAAAGATTAGGAATGGCAAAGATTAGCTCAGGTATGGCAAAGATTAGCTCAGGTATGGCAAAGATTAGGATTAGGAATGGCAAAGATTAGGAATGGCAAGATTAGCTCAGGTATGGCAAAGATTAGGAATGGCAAGATTAGCTCAGGTATGGCAAAGATTAGCTCAGGTATGGCAAAGATTAGGAATTTTCTACACCTATAACAGGTAATTCTCTCTAAAATTTTACAGCAAAAATGTTTACCTTTATATTTCATGTTACATTCTTAACTTATTTTGTCTTATAGACCAAAAATTAGATAGCGTGATATTTTATGATTTTTGTGACACACTATAAACTAAATTCGTATTATTTTATTATATTTCTATCTAATTGTTAAAGATTAGCTCAGGTATGGCAAAAATTAGGAATGGCAAAGATTAGCTCAGGTATGGCAAAGATTAGCTCAGGTATGGCAAAGATTAGGATTAGGAATGGCAAAGATTAGGAATGGCAAGATTAGCTCAGGTATGGCAAAGATTAGGAATGGCAAGATTAGCTCAGGTATGGCAAAGATTAGCTCAGGTATGGCAAAGATTAGCTCAGGTATGGCAAAGATTAGGAATGGCAAGATTAGCTCAGATATGGCAAAGATTAAGAATGGCAAAGATTAGCACAGGTATGGCAAAGATTAGGAATGGCAAAGATTAGCACAGGCATGGCAAAGATTAGCTGCAAGTCCTGAAACCATCAACAGTGTTCAATCCTGGGTATTTCAACTGATAAATCAAAATAAAGATTTAATTCAATTAGATTTAGAACAAAGGATGTGAACTTACTTGAACATTCCATATATGTACACATTTATCAAATGATCCACTAGCTAAATAACGACCATCAGGGCTAAATGCTACACTGTACACTGGTTCTTGATGTTTAGTCAATGTATGTAAACAAGTTCCTCTTTCTACCTCCCATAATCGTACCGTAGAATCAAAAGATGCGCTGAAATAATGACAACATGAATGTTATTTTACTATTCTTGGTGTCAATCAAGCCATCCAGAACAGGATAGGTCACATTCAAAATTAGTTTATCTTTATCCTCCATTTTGTATTCTGTCTACATCTACTTTTCCTTTGGCATACATGGAATGCTTTCTGATCACCGTTTCCACCTGTATCATTCAACATCTTAATAATTCCATGAATCTAGAACAATAAGAACTAACCAAGCACGAGCCATTTCAGAGATCTTCAGATGCTTTGACTTGTGGCTTCAATCACAGAACTCTATGAAGCAATGATCATCGAGTACATGACTTTAGTCAAATCTTGGAAGAGTTTAAACATATCAGTCAGTATTTACATACATGAGAAATTGGACATTAGTAAATAAATTTACTTACCTAGCTAAAATTAACGAAGCATTAGGATTATTTGTACTTGGCCCCGTCGGACTCCATTTTATAGTATATATTTCTTTATTATGAGCTTGTAAATCATGAACACATGTATCTTGTTTCATACTCCATATCTAAAATAACAACAGTATAAGAATTCAGATCTGTTGTATTTGGACATAATTAATATTTCAATATAAATAGACATATTACTATCATATCATCATACTTTACAGAGGACAATTATCATCAAAATAAAAGGAAGAGGACTTCAAAATACAATATTGACTTTATCATTATGCTGACTGATTGTGAACCAGAAGTAGTCTAGATAAGAAATGATAGCCCAGTTAACATCATTATCTTATCATCTATGTTTTTTTTAAATAAACTCATCCAGATATGACTTACCAGGAACAATTCATTATGAATACTTACAATAGAAGAGAGGTGTAAAAGGTTTAATAATATTTGTGTGTATATATTACAGTATTAAGCGAAAACTTACTTTTAAAGTCATGTCGTCAGAACAGGACGCTAAGAGGTTTCCTTGTGGTTCCCATTTGATAGCATTAACCTCATTCTGAAATACAACGTCAATATTTTAGCTTATCTCCCTTTATATATTATTCAGTGGAAGACAATTCAACCTAATACAAGTATTGTGTTTCTCAAGAAATATGGTATTTACTACTCTTATTAATGGAACTTGTTCTAAACTTTATTTATCTAATAAGTTGCAGAAAAGGAACAAGTTTGATATTCCAAATATCAAGAATAATTTGTCATCCATTGAAACAAAATGTGCTTTGAAACAATTTCCTACTATTTTTACAAAATGTTCACAACGGCAATAATTAAACTGCCACTCTAACTATATCAGAAACAGAAGACAAGACATTTCTTAATTAGCTAATTAGGTTGTTCCTTGTTGAAAGGTGCACAAACAAGATGACATTTGAAAAGAATAATAATTTATTGAATAATCAGGGGAAATATTATAATAAAAACTTACCGTGTGTCCTTGGAATGTTTTTGTGGGTCGATCACAGCCTAGTCTACAAACGTGAATACACATATCTGTTGAACAGGATGCAAAACTATTATTTGACTGCCAATCTACGTCCAGCGCAGGGGCTGAAATTAGAAATAGAATACATGAATTATGTTTACACTTGTACTAGGTGATAACTGGAACCTCATAGGTAGAGATAAGATAGTGGTTGCTGATGATTTAAACTATCACAATTTTCTACACCTATAACAGGTAAATCTCTCTAAAATTTTACAGCAAAAATGTTTACCTTCATATTTCATGTTACATTCTTAACTTATTTTGTCTTATAGACCAAAAATTAGACAGCGTGATATTTTATGATTTTTGTGACACACTATAAACTAAATTCATATTATTTTATTACATTTCTATCTAATTGTCTTGCTAAACAGAATAAAACCTTGAAAGTATATAAAATCATTCATCTTTTTTAAATATTCATAGATTATATAAACCCAAACCCAAATCATTCCGACATAATATATTATATTTCTAGTATTGACGTCAATTACTTCTACTTATTGCCTAAATATAATGCTTGTTTATAAACTATTTTTTAAAAATTGGATCCTATTTTTTAACTAATCTAATGTCTATATCAATTTTTCAAACATAAATAACACAGAAACAGGTTAAATATCCCAATTAATGTCTGTCGCAGTTCAAATATAGAATAAATTTTCTAAACAAGATTTAATAACTATTTTTAGTATGTTTTTATACCTCTAGGGAATATATTTGTTACACTGGCTGATAATAAATATATTTCCACATGAGTATTGAGCAATATTGTAATAAATCATACCATTGCAAAATAAGATGTCTTCATTTTTTATAATAGTCTTTACTAGGGCTGGGTAAAACGATGGAAATAATCGATTAGCGTCGCTAGGAATTTATAATTTCAATCATCAAACTTCATAATTGGTATAAGTCAAAGATACATTTTCTCAATTGTTCCCTACCAGGTATTAATCTCTTCTACATAGGTTCCTTTCAGCACATAACATACCCACAATAAACTATAATAACCGATCAAATTAAGGATATATTTCTATGACACAAATATTACACATGAAATTGAGTATTTTGGCATGTTTTTAATCTAGTATTTACAGGGTTTCTCAATTAAATTATTTCGATTATTATTTGATTATTGATTGGTAGTCTGCCATTGATAATCGATTTCAATTTGGTAATCGATATTCAAATCGATACCTAGCCCTAGTCTTTACACTTTATCTTCCTTTGATGATATTGTGAAATACTTCTATGTCCTACTGTGAACATTAGCATATTTATATCATAAGATTTTCCCAGGAATTTAACATAAAGAGATTGTAAAGAGGCTTTCTTAACTTTTTATGTGTACACAGATACACTGACTGTCAGCATCAATTTGCACCAATCCAAATTCAGTCAGACCTTTATGCTAAGGTTCTAGTATTTCCATGAAAAGTAATCAATAGTGATATCACAAAACGCAAAACCACAGACTCAGAATCAGCTGACTGAATATCGGAATGGTGCAAATCAATACTATCAGTGTCTTTGATACACATAAAAAGTTAAGACAAGCTCTGATGCTTTCTCTATAAATTTGACAAGTCTATTTCAAAACTCAGTTTGATTGTTTTGTTTGCTAAGAAAGTGATTTATTTTGTCTTCGTTTTTTAAATTTGATTGGCAGCTAGTCTTAGTAAAGTGAGTTTTTTTAAAATGAAAGTGTCTGAAGCTATAATGTACTTGTCTGATTCTATGACAGTATGATATTAGATTTGATATTAATGTGATATTATTGACTTCTTTGTCCAGGTTCCTGTATCAAATTTTCTTTTAACTATGTTATATATGAAATATGCTGGGTAATAACTTACGACAGTTGATGTCAGTGTAATCTGACCTGTTCAAATAACATCATGCTATTACAAACTTCTTCTTATACCTTGACTGCAATATCCAATATACTTGTACGGTAGCAAACACGGGCAATCAGACCCCTTGATATAGAGACTTTCTGGCAAGGGCTCTCATTGGCTGTAATTGTTAGAGTACAATCCAATCGCAGCATTCACCAACCTCCATAATGCAAGTAAGGTGGCTAATGCAGTCAATGTATGAGAAGTTTGTAATTATGACATATTGTGAACATGTAAAAAAGAGAAACAAAAGATGATCTACATACCATTGTGAAAAGCAAATTGTTGTTGACAGCTACCAGAACTAGCATCCCATATAATGGTTGTCTAAAAATAATAATAATTAACAACAATTAAAATCAATTAAAAATCTAATTAAAAAACATGGCAATTAATAGATGGTATTTAAAAAAATATGGTTGATTGAGGGCAAATTTTTTTATTGGAGGTATTTGAACACATGGTGCTAACTCTTGTAGAAGACAATAGATGCTGCTTGATTGACTAATTGTAGCCCTTATTTGTAATATACCCAGTTTCAACCTCTCAGCATGTTAGACTGGGCTTTAACTTCGGTGCCATGTCATTCTAGTGTGGCCAGTTGTTTCAAAAGTCTGCTTCGTATCAGCTCATCCCTGAAACCACATCACTTAGAAGCAGATCAGGAAGCTAAGCTATTTTCCAGACATTCTAACAAGGTTATTAAGTTAAATGGATAAACACTATGTATATTACACTATACTCAGACAGAGAACGTCCATGACCTAATCCACTGATATAATGTATATAATATATTTATAAGATATTTTTAACTGTACAAAAAGAAGTAGATCAAAACATGACATATTGCTTCACACATTGGCAAATTGACAATGTAAATTAAAAACTGACTATGAAAACAATTTATTTTCTGTATGTATGATATCAATCAATGTTGAATGATATTTGACTCAGTAGAATTTAGTTCAGAGTTTACAATGAAATATCTTTCTGTCATTTTACTACAGTTTCCTTTTCCTTATCCTATAAACCTTTCCTATGAACCTTTTCAGTGGTGGTACCAGCAGCAAGAACTGGAGGTTAGAGAATTGCTCTAAGACAAAGATACCCTATACCCTTCAGTTCATACACTTTCAAGACTTTTCATAGCTAGAAGCAGTAGTATATTTATAATAAATATAAGCTTATATTAAGTTGAATATTCATACTCAATGACCCAAAAATTATATTGTGTTTAAAAAACCTATGATTGTTCTTCAACTATTGGAAAATTGACATTAAGATAGTTTATCACATGATGAAGCAGCATTTATTTTCCCATAATGATCCTTCAATATTTCAGATTATCCCTGCCGAAATGAATCAATCTACTATAATAAAGGTTATATCCATTGTCAACTGACATCTGTTATTTCCTCCCAATAGTCCACATATCTAATTGGCTATTGCATTGTATCTGCACCACAGATCTTTCAATGTCATCAATGCAACTGAATGAGTCATGTACCAGACGAAGCCAAAGATAATTTACTATAAAGAACATAGCAGTTCTGCCAGAAATGAGTTTTGCAGTAAGCTTATAGTTATATATAGAAGATACATCTGATATAATAATTATATTAACAACATAGTAAACACAATAACAAGCTAGGTCAGACATATTTTTGTACTGGTTATAAAAACCTAACTGTGTCAGCTTAGAACTTTTTTCTTACACCATGTTATGTTCTTTTGATGTCTTTTCAATTAGGTAGAAGACATTGAGGTTCTTGACTAACTTTACTAGCAACTATTGACTGATTTCACTAGCAACTATTGACTGATTTCACTAGCAACTATTGACTGATATCACTAGCAACTATTGACTGACTTAACTAGCAACTATTGAATGACTTCATTATCAACTATTGACTGACCTTACTAGCAACTGTTAACTGGCTTTACTAGCAACTATTAACTGGCTTTACTAGCAACTGTTAACTGGCTTTACTAGCAACTGTTAACTGGCTTTACTAGCATATTGACTGACTTTACTAGCAACTGTTAACTGGCTTTACTAGCAACTATTAACTGGCTTTACTAGCAACTGTTAACTGGCTTTACTAGCATATTGACTGACTTTACTAGCAACTATTAACTGGCTTTACTAGCAACTGTTAACTGGCTTTACTAGCAACTGTTAACTGGCTTTACTAGCAACTGTTAACTGGCTTTACTAGCAACTGTTAACTGGCTTTACTAGCAACTGTTAACTGGCTTTACTAGCATATTGACTGACTTGACTAGCAACTATTGACTGACCTTACTAGCAACTGTTAACTGGCTTTACTAGCAACTGTTGACTGACTTTACTAGCAACTGTTAACTGGCTTTACAAGCATATTGACTGACTTTACTAGCAACTATTGACTAACTTAACTAGCAACCATTGACTGATCAAATTAGCAACTTTTGGCAGACTTTGCTATCAAATATTGACAAACTTCACTAGAAAATATTGACAGACTTTACTAGAAACTATTGACTACTTTCCAAGCAATTATTGACTGACTTTATTAGCATCTACTGACTGCTTTTACTAGCAACTGTTAACTAACTTTACTAGCAACTACTGACTAACTAGTTCAGATGAGGAAAAGTCTCAGGGTGGTTTAAAAATACACAATTGAGCTTGGTCTTAGTTTCTAAAGCGAGGCATTTCCTTCATTCCATAAAGCTACAGCCTTGATATTACTAACGGCAATAACAAGTCCTTGAATTCAGTTCTAAAAGTCATCTTGAAAGAAGAATATAATTAGAGGATGATGTATATTATTTTAACCTGTAGATATTGGTAAATTATCTGACGTCAGCACTAGGTTTCAAGTACATTATTTTATTTAGAGACTCACAGCTATCAATATCAGGTGCACTGAACACCTTCGGCAATCAAAGTGTCAGCTGCTATACAGGGCACTCTAGGCTATGTCTGTATATATTCTAGAATATTCTACCTTGACATTATTAACACTGCCCTCAGAGGAGAAATATGAAGTTAAAACTAAGTATTTTTATGTTTCAAAGGAACGTCGTTGACATACTGACCTATTACTAATTAACCAACCAGTTTACCAGGGAAATTACTGTAGAGTTATATCCGGACATCAGGGACATGTTAATGTCATAATAACTAGTCTCACAGAAAATATAGTCTTATTAAGGTTATTTCACTGGTGTAAGCTGAGCTCAGCGGGTTCGGAGAGTAGTTTCAAATTAGAGAATGTCTCTTAAGTAACTTTTTTAACAAACTTCGTAAGAAATATTTAATTTGAAATTTCTCAGCATGCCTTCTTTAAACCAAATTGAAGGAGAGACCTCCTAGTTTGAACCTACGAACTACTCTACATATCACATGAACAATAATTCACTTGGAACATTCCTACCATCAACAATTATAACATTCAGTCAAGTTGAAAATTGTATAAATTAATACAAAATAAATGAAACAGATATAAGAATATCTTGGGTTATTTGGTGTAAACATGTAAATAAAATACATAGATCCAGGTAATTCCTAGCCTGATAGTTATCAATTATTCTATTTCAATTACCATTAAGATTAATCATAATAACATAATTACCATTCCACTTTCCTCATCAAAGCATTGTTAGTCTACAATGTGTACGAAATGAATGAACTGAATAAAGAGTAGGCTTAATCATTTTTCTACATTATATAATTTACCTTGTCTTGGAAGTCTGAGAATAAAAGACTTTGAGAGAAAAAGCTATTACCGTTCAATTCCTTGGAATTTAACTATGTTATGTCATGGTATGTCTGATGACATTTAACAAATCATATTTCATCATTTAAACAGATGAAGAAAAGTAGGACATAAAACTAGAGAATTTACTCCTACTCCTACTTGTATTATGTATTTTCTCTATTTTTGATATATATATATTTTATGATTAAAAGATTCTACATTTTCTATTTCTTCTTCTCAATTTTGCAACAATAATAAAATTTATATTTGTAATTTGAGTTATTTTAAATTTTTTGAGTTGTTGGCATTAAACAAGTTGGCTTCGTCCATACTTCTTTATGCAAGAAATTGTCACATTTCATCATAAAGTCTTTGACACTTCCTGTTAGAAAAGGCTGTTAAATATCTGTAGAGCTTCTAGCTATGAAATCTTACAAACTGGTGCACCTTCATGACATGTAACAAAGGTTAAAATAACTCTACTCATATTAAAAGAAAGTCTACAATGTGGGCTTTCAGGCCAACAAGACCAAAAGACCAAAATTATTTTGACGTGGATTGTGGAATAGTTCGGACAATTCAAATATTGTTGTTTGAATATTTTGGAAGTGGCAGTTGTCTTATTCCATTTCCGCCAAGGGGCGCAACCCTGGTAAAAACCACATGTTCTAGCCGCCATTTGTGCAGATCGGACGCAATAGTTATTTAGATTTAACATGAAAAACACAACGTGAACTCTAATCATATCATTGTGGAGCTACAATTATCCACATGGATACCTACAAAATAAAATTGTTATCACAGTTTTTGATCTAAAATTTCAAACAGTCCAAAACAGTCAAATACTTACTTTATCTACACCAGCACTTAATATACAATTTCCCCGTTTATTCCATTTTAAGGCAAATATTGGACCTTTATGTTGTCCTAATGTATTAACTAATCGACCTACAAATAAAAAAAAATAATAAAATAGATCAGATATCCACATAGCAATATATAGATCATAGCAATATTATAGATCATAGAAATATATAGATCATAGCAATATATAGATCATAGAAATATATAGATCATAGCAATATATAGATCATAGCAATATATAGATCATAGCAATATATAGATCATAGAAATATATAGATCATAGAAATATATAGATCATAGCAATATTATAGATCATAGCAATATTATAGATCATAGCAATATATAGATCATAGAAATATATAGATCATAGCAATATATAGATCATAGCAATATATAGATCATACCAATATTATAGATCATAGAAATATATAGATCATAGCAATATTATAGATCATAGCAATATTATAGATCATAGCAATATTATAGATCATAGCAATATATAGATCATAGCAATATAAAGATCATAGAAATATATAGATCATAGCAATATATAGATCATAGCAATATATAGATCATAGCAATATATAGATCATAGAAATATATAGATCATAGCAATATATAGATCATAGAAATATATAGATCATACCAATATTATAGATCATAGAAATATATAGATCATAGCAATATATAGATCATAGAAATATATAGATCATACCAATATTATAGATCATAGCAATATATAGATCATAGCAATATATAGATCATAGCAATATATAGATCATAGAAATATATAGATCATACCAATATTATAGATCATAGCAATATTATAGATCATACCAATATTATAGATCATAGCAATATTATAGATCATAGCAATATATAGATCATAGAAATATATAGATCATACCAATATTATAGATCATACCAATATTATAGATCATAGCAATATATAGATCATAGCAATATATAGATCATAGAAATATATAGATCATACCAATATTATAGATCATACCAATATGTTAGATTGGATCTTTATTAGAAGTTTAAAATAGTACTAAAATATCAGTGAACCAACCCCAAAATATCATTCTTGTACTTCAAGGAAGCTGAAAAGAAGCCTAAACACTCCCTTTTATTATTCCCTTTCATCCAAAATTTGTCAAAGTTATGTTACAATAACTTACATCATCTAAAAGCTTTACTAATGACATTATAAAACCTGTCTAACAAATAGTGCCATCATTATATATAAAACTTTTAAAAGGATTAAAGTGATGACTTTGTACTTTTCTTATCATGCTAAGAAGATTTAAGATTTTATAAAGAATCTGATATAAGAATGTAAGTTTGGTAAGATTGCAGTAAGAAATATAGCATCTATTTCTATTCATTATCTAACTGGGCTTCTGATATCTTTAAACTTATAATATATGATGAAATTGATAAATCAGACACAAGCCGATAGCCGACAGCTGTTTAAGTATCAAGTTAATTTAACCATCTAATATACCCAATATATTTACTTATAACATATGTTCCACTTGTTATATACTAGTAAACCTGAGTCCAGGTACAAACTAGTAAGAATATATACCATTAACAGATTATGAAGTACAGTGGCGTTACAGGTTTTCTCCACCTTCCTAGATTAGAAAATTTTCCAAGGCATGGCCACCACCTCAATGTCAAGTGTTTTAATAGTCCAAATATTGCTGCTGATAGCTTGTTAATATTACTATTATCTGATTGTAACATTAAACTATGTACTGTTACGACCTACCGTAGATAAGTAATCTGTACCTATTATAAACTAGTACAGTTTACTCTGACATACTTCCTTTACCTTACTATTTATCTATTTTACAGCTGCATAATACTGTTACAACATTGAAAATATGTTAATTCTGGTATATGTGCTTCAAGTGCAATTTTTCTAGGAATCCCAATGATCTTTGAAGATTGTAAAGGCCTCGTAATAAGAGAATTATCTTTTTTTATATATCTATAATCAGTAAAAGATAGATTAAGTACAGGAGGAGGTTCAGTACAAAAAGTTCACAATAAATCCTAGGTTGACTGATAATTGTATGATTAGAGATTATGGTGATTAGAGTGAAGTAACAAACAGTGTATTACTGGGTTATTATAAAAATATTTAAATTTAACCTTGGGGTAGCATTCCTAAAATCTTAACACAAATCCAATATAAATTTAGTTTTATTATCTAATAAAATTACTGTTATTCTTCAAATGTAGATTATATCTTAGTTGAAGGTATTCTAAATAAAGCCCTAGAGCATCTTATTTTCTGCATTAATGTAAAAACAATATTGAAAATACTGAAGATTGAAAGCTCTTACAGAATAAATATTAGCTATCTGAAAGTCTGTTAGATATTATTAGCATCTTTAGCTATAGTGATGATAATGCAATCAGCAGCCAATCAGCAATGGATACACAAAACGTTCAGGATACCTTTTTTAACCCCTTAATATACCAGAAAAGATAGAATCTTACCATCTGTACTCCACATTCTAGCGTAACCATCATAAGACCCTGTAGCTAATAACGTACCATCACACTGTAATAAAAATTCATAATCATCATTAATGTTCATATTCATCATCAAATTGGAATACAAATTCTACATACATAATCAATTTGCCCTATTTATTTTCATAATTTTATTATTAAATTTCACCATTAATTTTTATAAATAAACATAAATTTTAATGTGTATTTTCAATTTGTATCATCAATGTTCATATTCATCATAAACTTTAACCTCATTATCAATTTGCATCATCAATTTTCATAATGTCAAAAGAAATTTTCCAAGAATAAAAAATTTGACAATCATTCAAGTATGATTAATGACTTTCAAGTTGCTTTCAATAATACCAAAAAAATTATGTTTGTCAAAGCAATAATTTTTTTTAACAAGATAATGCAATGAAGAAATTTTCAATAAAACAAATAGAATAATTATTTAATAATTAATTCAACTATTGACTTTCAATTTTCTTACATAACTATTGTCAATAACAGCATAGTTTCTTGAACAATAGAGTAATGAACCTCTCGGGTCATGAAGAACTATCATAGTTTTGAACATATTGTGAAGGGGCTTTTGTGCTTATCAGTGCCCTCTACAGAAAGTCTATAACAACAAGCTATGTTAACAATTTTTCAGCCAAGGGCTCTGTTTGGCTGTATTGGCTGACGCACAATCCAATCAACTCACTAAACATAGTGGTGCAGTCAAGGTATAAGAAAAAATTCGTAATAAAGCCTGATATCGTGAAAATGATTAATCATATTATTAGAGAACTTACATTCCAATCTAATGAGGTGACATCTTTATTACTAGGTACTTCTGTTCCACCTTTCTGTATACAATGTCTTAAAACTAGTTGATTAGCGTTAGAACTATTATCATTCATATTCCATATTCTAGCTGTAGAATCACCAGACCTGTAATATATCAATATAAATAATCATAACTTCTTTATTTACCATTACCTTTCTAGTAATTATATACAATATTTATATACACAATATTTTCTTTTGTATATTTTCAGTCATACTTTCAGGGTTTTGATTTATATTGTTTACAAACTTTCTGTTGAGGGTGCTGATTGGCTGTTTTCGCTAGAATACAATCCAAGCAAATTACTTTAATTTACAAGACAACAGAAAGGACTAATTGATGTCAAGGCATTAAACAAGATGTGTACAAGGTTGACTTAGAATTGTCAAATGCAATCTACATTAACTTATCAGTCAATACTATATCACAACCCACGATACAGACTTAAACCCTTTTACCAGATCTTCTTATCTTAACATTTCCATTCAGATCACAGACAATGACTTAAAAGCATTTACATTTCCAATTTAAAGGCAAATGAACTGTAACAGTATACATGTGTGTCGAGTTTGAAGTAAAGTTTATCATCCCACACCATAATAAATATTAGACTACTGAATATGACATTGCACGGCGAGTGTAATTAAGCATATTGTCTTGCAGTGGCATCATCCTCTCATAGGGGCAATACTGTTTGGAGAAAGTAGAATAGAGATGTTACACATAGGGGTCCCTGTGTGGAATAAAAACACACCACAGGAAATGGAAAATAATGGCTGAGAGTCAAGAAGGAAAAGGCTCCTATATGGGTTACAGGGGGCTCGATTTTACCATTTTAAGATGCTTTGAAGTCATTACTTAACATAATAATAACATAAAAAATACCACTGGCCATAAAAATACAGGAATTCTTGTGAATCGATGAAGTCTTGGCTTCCTGTATACATTCACACACTGTTGTTCACAATATGATCTCTCATTTTGTATGATTTTATTTAAACAAGATGTTATTTGCACTTTAACACTGCAGCCATATAAACACCAACAAAGAAAAAAGTGACATTAAAACGTCACAAAAATTTATATTCTTTGAAGGAACTCTAACAAATTCAAATTAACTTTTTTCTATTCTACATAGAAAATAACAAGAATCAAGTTGATGAGAGGTGAAATTCTAAAAATAAATTGAAATAGTATTACTAAGTTTCTCATTACTGTTCAGATTTGATGAAACAGTCTGGCTTCTATTGTTATACCTTACAGTCATAACCTACAACACCTACACATACCCTGAATATTATTAACTTCTAGCTCACACCAATCAATATCACCCTATCAAATCACACCAGGGTCTTCTAATATATGTCATTAAAGATTCTAATACAGCTTATTTCTGACTGCCCACACAACAGAATGACATACAGTGTGTATATTTATATAAGAGAGGGTATGATAGGTCGGTCAATCGATGTTTCACCATATACGTCATATTGTGACATCGTGTATCAACACTTGATGATACCTCATTCCATAAAAGTGAGGATTTTTTCTAATCTGGCAAATAGAATTTTTCTCACTAACTTGAGTGAAATTGTTGGAAACTATTTGGAAGATAATAGTCATTAACCACTCCCTAGTACAATACTAAATATCTCAGTTACAAAGTTATAAATATAAAAATATTGAAAGTTTGAAGATAAAGTGTTAAATTTTATCCCCGTTCTCTATATAGCAATACACATCGTATCACATCATATCACATCATATCGTGATCCTTGTGTTGCAATATGTTTCATATCCTGGCATGATTGACTGTAGGATATTAAAGTACACAAAGCTCATTTAAATTCAATTTAAACTGAACATATTATTTCACTCAACATCTGAACCATTCCTTGGTTCATTAGTCAAACAAGGCAAAATAATATATCTATTTGTTTGGGTATTAAATGAAACAAATAAAATCCCAACAAAATAGGCAGTTTCGACTGAATGTTTAAAACTTCTACCAATATTATGATTTTTAGATGAACACTAACTTAAACTTGCACTAGTGCCTTCTGAATAACAGTAACTTGTTACAAATTAAATGGCCACTATTATTTTTTAACTTCATCTATACAATGACATTAACACAAATTGTTGAGAAATGATTTTTGTTTTGTTTTTTGCTCATTATAAACAACATTTGTGTGGCCATTTTCATTCGAACAAAAACAAAATCATGACCTTTCTGTACTGTGTACTGACTCATTCGATTTAAAGAACACCAACAAAGCACAACAACAACATATTGTTTACATCTGTACAGAGAGGCAAAACAAATGTTAGTGATCACATAAAAACTTTATCAGCGTGCATAAGATAAAAAATAATAGTTGTTATTTTTGAAATATCATGTTAACTCAAACCCTGTGTTGGAATGTTATAGTTAAGCGCCATCATATGTAACCGCGAAATTACCGACCTAGTTGTAAAGTTTAACCTGATATACAGAATGACGTAAGTGAATGAGGCCAATGTTTTATAATAGTGAACTGTAGAGTGTGTAATGTAATTGACAGCAGGTGTAAGGTATTATAATCAAGAGATATTTCACTGACCTCCTATCCCCTGACATAGCTAAGTTATTTAATATCCTTAGCCTTCAGTTAATCTAGTACAGACTGACACACTAACCTAACCTCACATTCTATGATATAATATATATCAATATTACTAAACAGCTCTACAGACAGTGGTGTATTTAAGGAGTGAGCCATTGGGCCAGGGTCCCTTCCTCGGGCCTGTGATAGGTCTTATTTTGAAGAGTCAATAAGCCTTGTTAATGCCCAAAATCATCTTCAGGCCATCTAAAACCCATTGGCTTCTGGGGGATCTGTCAGCTCACGGAAACGGACCCCTTAAGGGCTTTGACTCTTCCCCCCCCCCCCCCTCTCTCTCAAGCATTTTCTAGATACGCCCCTGTTTACAGATCAAGGCTCTAGTTTATTCAGGTAAAACAGGCTCTGTCATGTGAAGAAAGAGCTGAAGGAGCACTGACATACACAATAGATAACTTGTTAAATCTTTTCCTGTAACTGTAATTTCCTGAGATAAAGTTATATCAAAGCTGGATAATAAATTGTGGATTCACTATAAATGACCATATTAACTAGTAGACATGTTGGCCTACATTTCCCTCTACTTAATTATTGATTTCTCAACACCATTCATCATAACATATTATAGACCTTGCAAATCTCCATCTTTCAACATAAATCATATCTTTCATAGTACTAGTCATGGATTCTCTTCAATAAAACACCAGAGAAAGATACATCCATAGTTCATGAAGATTACTCTATTGATAATCTGGAAAGCCTTGTTTACCAACTGCTTGTTGGGTAAACCTTTCCTATATATCTGTAAGCTTACCCATTTACTGCTGGGTAGACTGGAATTTTGAATTAAGTGGACTGTCAAGAAAATAAGACACCAATGTAATTCAGGCATTGAATGAGCTGAATGACTAATGAATGCTGTCAAACTATTTAAGCTTGTGACATTCATCGTTTTATACTTGTAATACAATTCTCATTGTAGAAAAGTGCAAGGAACTTTGGGGCCGACAGTAGTTCAGTTGCTTAGAGCTTTGGAATCATTACATCAGATTAGTTGTGTGTGGTCATGGCTTTTATTTATTGGTATAAGTAATCCTGATGTAGTACGCTAGGGATATTGATTTTATCTACAGCATTTTATTGGGAATTGGTTGACAAAACCAAACAAAGATGTTCAAATTGTACATTAATCATGCATAAAAATTAATTATTTCTACAGCTTCTTTCAAAATCAATGTATATGCACTTACAATAAAACCATATTTCTATTGCTCAATAAATTACTCATCAATTTACAAAGTAATCAATCAATCAATACTAAAATATTATCAGGAAGTTCAGCATGGCATCAAACTCTAAAGAACAGCCATTAGTTATTTGAGTTCCTGTTATTCCACAGAGATAACAACATCAGCATTTCAATTGTATTCATATTATATCTATTGCTTGATAGATACTATATCAAACTGGAGAGGAGCACTATTATATATATCAACATGTAGTCAATGTGTAAGGCTATACAATTTACAGTATCAAAAGGGTGTTTTTATCAGTTGAGTATTAGCTTTGCTGATAGAATTGAGAATTCGCCCCCACCATCAATATAATAATAATAATAATAATAGTTCACTATATGATACATTATTTTTTGGTTTCTATTCCACCCTCGATCAATATATTTCTGTGAATAAGGATATATTAATATTAGTATTACTCATGAACTGTTTAACATGTTTCAGGTTTTTCTTAAAGATGCTGATAGATTTTGAAAATCGTAGTTGGATGGTAAATTGTTCCAGAATACAGTTGCCGGGTAAGAGAAGAGAGTGAACCTACCCTGAGGCTAGTAAATCATTGGCTGGATTCCATGCACATATAAAAACTTCTGATTCATGACCTCGTAAAACTGTAGTTTTAGATGTAGGTATATCTACTGTACCATCTACTTCCATGGAATCTGTGTGGTTAGCTGAAGAATAGAAAAAATACATTAGATAGAAGATTAATAATCATTAGTTCAGGTGTAAATTAATTTCTAATACAATCCTAAGGTATTTTTTTGGTTATTGCTTGAAACTTCTGAGTTTTGAATTCAACAGAACATCTGATATCAAAAGTACAGTTGAAATAATTATTATACAAGGTTTAGTTGTGACAGTGAAACACGGCAGAAACACATGAAATAGTCTTGTTGAAAGAGACAATAGGTTGACATTAAATTATTACATTCATTTTGTGATCAATGTCACATAAGCTTATAAAATATATTTTTCCTGGGACTTCTACTTTAAACAGCTAGTTATATAATGTTTGAGTAAAATAGATAACTATTATGAGTTACTGTCTATCATATTAAATTATGTTGAATCATTCTATTGTATATTAGAACACAGGATATTATCATTGACCTAGAAATAAGTAGGTCAAGATACATTCAGCAGAATCATCAGAGACACACCTAATAGGACTAAACATTTATTGTGAAGTTTGACATTCCATTTCTAAAATAAATAAATGGCTTGTGCACTTAATTCACTTATTTGCTTCAAAATTCCAAAAGATTGTCTTTTATAATTCATATAAAATAGGTGTTCTGTTAACAATAACAAATAAGGTATCTTTAAATATTATTTGAGGATTAGGGATATGTATCTTTGTGTATTATAATTACACATGAAGGTGTTTCTTTAAGTAATATTTGATTATTATAACACTTGAATATGTATCTTAAAAAATTTGAGAGTCATAATATATGAAGATGTTTCTTTAAATAATACTTTGGCCTACTATAATTATACGGAGGTGTATCTTTAAATACTATTTAAATAATGTATGAAGGTGTATCTTCAAATATTAATTTAGTACTATAATTATACTTGGAGGTGTATCTTTAAATACTATTTAAATAATGTATGAAGGTGTATCTTTAAATAATGTATGAAGGTGTATCTTCAAATATTAATTTAGTACTATAATTATACTTGGAGGTGTATCTTTAAATACTATTTAAATAATGTATGAAGGTGTATCTTCAAATATTAATTTAGTACTATAATTATACTTGGAGGTGTATCTTTAAATACTATTTAAATAATGTATGAAGGTGTATCTTTAAATAATGTATGAAGGTGTATCTTCAAATATTAATTTAGTACTATAATTATACTTGGAGGTGTATCTTTAAATACTATTTAAATAATGTATGAAAGTGTATCTTTAAATAATGTATGAAGGTGTATCTTCAAATATTAATTTAGTACTATAATTATACTTGGAGGTGTATCTTTAAATACTATTTAAATAATGTATGAAGGTGTATCTTTAAATAATACATGAAGGTGTATCTTCAAATATTAATTTAGTACTATAATTATACTTGGAGGTGTATCTTTAAATACTATTTAAATAATGTATGAAAGTGTATCTTTAAATAATGTATGAAGGTGTATCTTCAAATATTAATTTAGTACTATAATTATACTTGGAGGAGTGTCTTTAAATACTATTTAAATAATGTATGAAAGTGTATCTTTAAATAATACATGAAGGTGTATCTTCAAATATTAATTTAGTACTATAATTATACTTGGAGGTGTATCTTTAAATACTATTTAAATAATGTATGAAAGTGTATCTTTAAATAATGTATGAAGGTGTATCTTCAAATATTAATTTAGTACTATAATTATACTTGGAGGAGTGTCTTTAAATACTATTTAAATAATGTATGAAAGTGTATCTTTAAATAATACATGAAGGTGTATCTTCAAATATTAATTTAGTACTATAATTATACTTGGAGGTGTATCTTTAAATACTATTTAAATAATGTATGAAAGTGTATCTTTAAATAATGTATGAAGGTGTATCTTCAAATATTAATTTAGTACTATAATTATACTTGGAGGTGTGTCTTTAAATACTATTTAAGTAATACATGAAAGTGTATCTTTAAATATAACTTGTAAAATATTTTCTATGTCAATGGCAGATATAAAGTCAGGTCAATATATTACTTTATAATACTATAAATATATTCTACACCCCACCCAGCATTCATCTATTACTTTTAGGCCAAACGGTCGAATTCTTCCTTGGTAACAAGGTGAAATGATAATTGACCAAATATGAAACTAAACTACAAATACCATTAATGTCATTACATGTTCACAATGTAAGCTTGTCACATCATGAACAGTTTGAAAATTTGTTGTTGTTTTTAAATTGGTATTTTGTATCTTGGGACTACTAATTTATACCTAAATACCAGAGATTGATTAAGTGCAGCAAACCCACAGATTGGTTGAATATGACACCAATATTGGGCATGTATTCAGTTTCCATTCAATGAGCTTTTGTCAGAGAAGATATCACAGACAATCAATCCAGTCACTGTATTTACTAGTATTCAGGAAAATGTTAGGAAATGACCGATTAAAACTTTGAGATAGACTCCAGTATTTATCTTCACTGATAAAATATATGTAAGTCAGAACAAGTCGTAAATTTGACTGAGATAAGATAAAGCAAATATGTTGTGAGTGGTAGCCTTAGAGTTAACAGTGTAAAGGTCAGGAAGAGATCTGAGCTATTCAATCTCTAGGCATATTGACATTGAAACTAACACCCTACTCACATACTAGCTGAAATTCTACCACCCTTATTGTCCTGAACACAAACATCGGCAGAGGTTGATAACCTTACAACACAATTAACACCCTGACACCCCACCCTCGTCAAACATAGCCTAGTCATAGAACAGAACTGATGTCAACAATAACCTACAACACCCTTACTAAAAATATCATGGACTGTTCCAAGAGGGTGTCACGTGACCTGTATATGCGTTAGTTCGTTTGTTTATTTCCTCCACTGACATTCCTCAAGGGCAATGATAGCAGACCCGGAGCAAAGTACAGTATACATACAATACATACTTGAGAGTTATATACAACCTTCACCTTCATGTTGACTTATTTAAAGAGAGTTGTTATCAACTCTGAATATAAACAGCAGTGATAACCACCACAATTTATACTTATTAGATGGCAGATGATGGGATGTGAAGTAATATATTTTAAATATCGTTATGAAACTGACACTGAAACTTGTTTGGAAATTGAGTGGACAGGATTGAGGGTGGTCAACCCTAAGTTAGGTCAATATCAATGATGCATTATTGTATAAAAGCTCTGAAAAAAAAATTAAAAGGGGTGGCCATCATTTTTCTCTGAAAATGTAATTCCCTACAATTTCAGCAACCTGATCTGAAATAAGTTTGCAACTTAAATCATCCTTTAATATAAGCCTTCAACTTCCATATTTCTAATTAAAAAACTTCTATATGTGTCTTACATAAAACTCACCCATTGATTGCGTTGAGGTTTTTTGGTGGGAAAATATAAATAGACATTATAAAGTTGGGCCACGTAACACGAGTATAAGTCAACTATAAATACCTCACGTGATCCACGTTAAATAAACCTCTACAGACAGGTTATTTTTATTTCTTGGCCCATTGCCAAATAACATTGTATAAAGCTTTCAATTGTGTCCCGAACTAAACACACTGATCTAATTCTATCCAATTCACATAACTTTACTCAAGCCCACACAATATCAGACGCTAGCATTTTTTATTTTCTACTCTAGTAATTATAAAACGTTGATTTATTAACAAGTTTAAATATAGGTTTATATTATTGTATTAGAGAATATGAGATGAAAACAGGCCATGTGTAACATAACAACATTTATTATCTAGTACATCTATATTCCGCTACACATATGAAATGATCTATATATTTTTCAAGGGTCAATAAGAACTAGTTTGTAAAATATATCTTTGTAATTGGTAAATGATGTGATTTCATACAAGAGGATAGGATAGCTTGTTAGACAAAACAACATACGCCCCTGGCAGCAGATTACAAATAATGTTTTGTGTGATCAATAAAACAAAGGTAAAACTTTGAGGGTGAATAAAAAATACTTTGTCAAACATAGTAAATTAATGTTATTTATTTTATAATGATTGTTTTTAACCCTGTATCAAGGTATGATTGACCTCCGAAGATTCAAGAAAAAACATGGCCTTTAAGAAAAAAGAGGTGCATTTTGTGAAATTAGCCGAAGGTATAGCCATAAACAACAATTTAGACATTTCCTACATTCTTGATTAAGTAAATAAATTTAACGAGTCAGTTTTTACATCATCATTGTTAAACTGTCCTAAAATAACCCACATTGCACTCAATATAGTTGTATGAACAACAAAAAAAAAATCACATTTAACTAGTTGAACTTTGAATATCAGTAGTGGTTTCCTGGTTTTTACTTAATATGTCAATAGATAACGAAGATCACTATGACCTCGTTATTTCCTGTTGATGACATCATAATCATTTGAAAAATAAATAAACTATATTATATATACATCATTAGATAATTGTTCATGTATTTTATTTATTTCCTTAACAATAAACAGACAGACCCCAAAGCTATATCATTTTTCACAGTAAAAATAATACATATTTTATTAGCTTTATTTACAGTAACAAACACTAACGGATTGTTGAATGGTTTAAGAACTGATGTGGAATGGTGAATAATAGCCTATAGAACAACAAGGATAAGCAAACGGTGAAGAGTACCAAAAAATCTCACTATGGACTGCTATAATACCCCTAGTAGTAAAAATGTAAAGTCTATACAGAATCTTGCAGTAAGAACTGAGGCCAATTCTTAAGTTACAAGTATACAGGAATGCCATTCATAAAAGAGATTTTCTAAAAAAAATCTTATGTGATAAGGGACACCAATAGCATCAATTTGCACCATTCCAATTTTCAATCAGACTTCTGTGGTTCTTGTAAGTTCACTTGAACTATGCATTTTATGACATTACTATCGCCAACAGCTTTAGAACCACAGAAGTCTTTACAATCCCTTTAGATTATTATCTGTTAAGAAATTAAAACGTGCTTTTCTTTGATTCAAGGCATAATATGACAATGCACAAGCATAATTATCTTGGAAAGATTTTCAAGACTTACATGAACAACAGACAACAGACGAAAAATTGCATTGATGCACATAGAAATACAAACTTTAATGATAAATATGTGAAGACTACTAATTTGAATCCCTTTAAGATGTTGTTAAGCTGGTCAGTTAGTTTCAGACATTTTCTTTAAAAAATTTTGCCATCATTTCTTTAAATTTATTACTTCACTATTCTCTTTAACCTTCACTTCATTTAAACCCTTCCATTAATCACGTTTCTAGATAGACGTGCTCATTATAAAACCTTTTGTTAAACATTAAATCTAACAGCACTAATGCCCCAAATAAGAAAAACCTAATTAAATTTTGCAAGAAAAAGTAATAAAGCTTAGCATAAAGAAATTATTTGCCTCAGTTTAATCTCACCCACATTCTACTGAGAAACATGTGATATAAAGCGTGGCCTATAGTCTGTTTCTGTTAAACTACACTGAATAAATATACCGCTGTCTTTCCTATAGTTTGTTTCTTTAACAGTACAAATAAATTGCTATGGTTTGTGTCAATACGCGTCAATATGGCTGCCATCATTGTATTACTGTGAATAGATTTATCTTGAAAACATCTCCCAAACCTATTCAATTCAAACCCAAAATCAAACAATAAAGTAAATAAATTATTGAGAGAGTTGCCAAGAAGCAAAAAAAAATCACACAGCAACCATAAAAATATTCCTTTACGTACTATTTATTTCTTAAACCTTTTAGTTAAAACATTCACTCAAAAATCTATATAACTCATTGTAGCGTTTACCTACAATAAAACTGTTTTCTAAGACTGACAAATAAAAGTTTACCTGATTTCAATTATTTGTATTGCATTTTAGCTGCATTGTAGTTAAATTTGAATACTTCAAAGTGTTATGTAAAGATGCTCTTACAATGGAAGGTATAAAATTAATAACTAGTTTATATCAAGATGTTTAAAGGCTTTCAAACGAAACGAAGTATCCTGGCAGAGTTTTGTAATAGGTAAATGGATAATAACATCAAGTAGAAAAATCAGAATGGTGGAAATTAATGCTATCGTTGCCCAATATATAACAACGGTTGAAAACCCTCTTTTGAATGCATTCAATTACCTGTAAACTAAAGTGAAACATGTTAAATAACTATTCATCTGTCAAACAGAAAATGTTATCATTCAATTCAAATTAAGTCTTTCATTTACAAAATAACTGAATGAAATATTTAAAGAAAAACAATTTATTAGAATGGAAATCTGGCACCTGTATTGTCTACAATGAAGAATGAAATCATAACTAACTGCCCCTTTAAATGAAATATTTCAACAATTCTTCATGTTATTTGGTAATGAATGTTTTCAAGCTATATTTCTTGCTTGGTGTCAGATAGTTTTGTTAAATTTCGTAATTTGTTGAGTTTTATTAGAGAAACTGTCTGGCAATTTGCCCACACACAAACATGATTAGTTTCACCAAAATAAACAGACTTGAAGCCTCTCATATCAGTATCAATTTAATCAAATCAATTTCTTCAAATTTTGGCACCAGGATTTTCAAATTCTAAATGATTTAAGAGTATTATTGATTCTATGAATGTAAATAAATCATTGAAATCCTATTCTTGTTATATAAAATAAATTGATAACATTAGAATAAACCTAATTGGTTTGTGGTTTGAAATTCAGCATCAACATTGCCCTTACAATCTCTGTCAGTGATTTGGTGATAGTTTATTTTTCTAGATTCCAAGACCTTCTATGCGTCAAGTTATCAAACAAGCGCTGAATTCTCGAAACAATCTTAGACCCAGGGTGTCTTAGTCCTAGGATCTTAACATCTAGTACTGTTTCTAGGACATCCTAGCACTAAGCTATAGTTTTGAGAATACAGGGCCAGGACTATATCTTAAACAAAGGTTTTTCAACTCTCTTTCCAGAGACTTATTTTTAGATGTAAAACTTTGTTGTTATTTCATACTAAAGAATGAGATATCACTGTTTCATTACGGAACCTATCTTGGTAAACTGTTATAAACTTTGAACATTTCATTTTAACTAATAGAAATTATTTTAATACAAATACGAGCATGATGTTTATTGAAATTGTGAACGCTTTTACTGGTTAGCTTAGCTGAAAAATTCCATTTCTAAGACTAAGATACGATTGGTCAAAGGGATGGCAAACATTTTCCTTTAATTGATATGGTGGCCTTTCTGATGACTTATGTCGTGAATGATAAACTCTGATAACCTAATTCACTTATACTATGTTGTAATATATTATAATAAGGTCAATGTACAATTATCATATCATTAATTCATCAGCCTAAACATAGATTACCTCACATTTAATGATAATTTAAAAGTCTTTCATTATCTACCTATGTTGTTTTAAGGTTAATGTTTTCATTGCTGTCCCAGATAATTGCCCATGGAATGCTACAAGAAACTACCTATACGTGTAATGTCGTACATCAATCTAAATCATGTAATATATTGTAATCTAATGTATAATCACATTATCATAATTTGTATTATAATTATGTACATGTATAACTTTGAACCCATTATACTGAATATTTCTATATACATTTTGTATGAATTAAAGGGATTGAAAAGAGGTTTTCTACAAAAATTATTTGTATCAGGGATACTGATCGCATCAATTTACACTATTCAATCAGACATCTGTGATTCCTGCAATTCCACTATAGCTAAATGTTTGATGATGTCACTAATCGCAAAGGGCCTAATGTGACAAGGCATATTTTGTGATTAATGACGTCATAAAATACTTAATTTTTGTTGGATGGCAGCGACCACAGACGTCTGATTGAAAATTGGAATAGTGCAAATTGATATCAGTGTCCCTGATACACATAAGAAGGAACCGCTTAATACAATCTCTTTAATGTTTTGATCTACTTACTGCTAACAGCATGTGTCGCATCTTCACCATTTGTGTTGACATTTTCTGTTTTGATTGGATTAGCTTTAGCTGCTGCCTGCTTTTTAGATTCCACAACTTCAGGCATCACAGCATCAATCAACGATAATGATTCCATAGGGCGTACAGTTCCATCCTGAAAATATCAGAAAATAATTCAGATTAACATTATATAAAAAAAATACAGTAAAGCAGAGAATCTGGAAAACTTGATATCAGCATGTATTTTATTTATAATGTTAATTTGTCTGTTAATCTGTTAATCAGGTTTCAGTACTGCTGTGATTGGCAACCCGTTATCAAATTCCATAGTTATTAGAATATCATAACTCTGATACAGGTTAAAGTCTGTTTAGCATTTATAATTATGAAAAACAAACAGATAACAGAATGGCTAAGTGGCTAAAGTACAGATGTCGAAATTAAGTACTGATTTATATTATATGCTTTGAAGCTTTTCAAACTATTAGTCCTTAGGAAACTTAATAAAATCATAACCAGAACCAGACATATGTTTGAAACAAAAGTCTCATTAATGTGTATGTCGTAGAATAGCTCTGAATCAATTTTCAGCCTGTTGGCTACTCTTCAATGTGTTTGTACCTGATTTCCCCCATCAGTAATGCAGGTCGAGACAAAAAACTGAGGCCCCATGAAAGTTGGAAAGTGAAGAAGAGTAGGCTGTCCAGACAAAATTTCCATTCACTCATTCTCATTAGAAGGTGCAGAAATTTAGGACATAATGTTTTTATTTATTTCATTTCAATGTGTTTGCATAATCTCAAGACAGAAATCAAACAGTCAAGATGGATATTTGGGTTTGCTGTTTTAAAAGTGAATGGACTTGTAATATGTTCTTCATTTAGGACCTATTCAATCACCTGTGACTTATATTAAAATAGTGTCAATGTCAAAGATATTAAGTTTCACTGTTGTTTGAATTTATGGTCTACTTTTTTGCACACAGAGTCCAGGGTCATCAAATATCAAAAAGTTACTTTGAACAATCTTACAACAAAAATACTCAGCTTTAATTTCATCCACATGGAATTTTTATTCAAATATTTGCAATCTACTTCCTCAGTCATATATCAAATTTTGAGAAAGATGTTTTCTTTCAACATATTTAAATAATGTGCTTTAACAAAAAATTCTCTCTACATTTAACACAAAAGACGTACTAAGATAGACCTCAATCAATCATGATTTCCTATTTTATCTAAAATCATTATTTCTTTCTACCAGCCGACTGACGGAGCTAGTAATCAATAGGCTGTTTAATATGAAATAATACAAGCCTCACATGACCTGACCGATTTCAATAGTCTCCGACTACCAGTCAATCTATTATAATAAACCCAGATAAAATACTCGGCTATTATTGGAGGTTAAATATATTTCACTCAACCAACTCCATTATTAATTCAGCAGGCTGGCAACATAACCTATAGTCTGTTTTATATTTCATCACACCAATATATTACTAACATATTGTCCTCGAAATACATCTATAGTCTGTTTCATTTTAACACTACCTGCCAACATTTTGTTATGAAAGTCAATACAATTTACAGGATGTAAACCTTCCCTATTTTTTATTGATCATGTCAAAAAACGTGTATGCACATTAAATATGTATATAAATAATGTGTAAATAAAGTATCATCAGCCAATTTATTGGCTGGAATTTCAGCTATATTGGATATCATATAATAAGCCAATATAGTCAATAGAATCTATATTCTACAGTAACACCTACATTAAATATGCTGACAACTTCAATAATAATTTCATAACTGATCATCATTCCCTTAAAGGGACAGTATGCAAAATTTTAGGTATCAAAAACCGTCATAAATTATACCTGAAAATTTACATCTATAATGTATCATTTTGATCAAATTAAATTTGTTTTTAAGGGTTAATTTCTTACCTCTGCGATACTGATTTCTGCCTCTGTATATTGTAATCCTTTTTGAATAATATTTAACAAAGCTGCAGGAGGCACTAAAGCCCCATTTATATTAGTTTGACTAATGTGACTTTCTATTCCAAATGTATACGCTGAATGCACAAAACCTAAAAAACAAAAATATAGGTTTGATCAATGTTTTTTAGAGATAAAAGACATGTTCAAGCATCTAGGGTCCTTACACCATGGAGATCACCATGACCACTTTTATAATATTCAACCATACCCATACTCAACTGGTAATCACAATGGTGCGAGGGCAAAAATACTATCTGTTCTATTTTTTTGCATCTACCTGAGTCTGGCATATTTGTGTATAACAAAAGTGAGACATGCAGTGATTTCTCCTTGTCTTCTACTAGATATCCTAAACAGGACCTGTAGAGTATTTGAACTATCTTTACTTTTGCTTGATTAATACTTGAAATATTGACCTTCTGGGCACCTTTTCTGCAATAACAGTAACCACAGACATGAATGGTACATAAAAAATCCATAACACCACATTCACAGTTTACAAAAACTATCTTCCAATCTCTTTAAAAGAAAGCATCCTACCTGATTCTTGTAAATAGCGATATACTAGAAAGTTCACCTCATCGCTGCTAAAACTCATGGTGGTAAAAACTTAAACATCAAGTCTATCAAATAATGACACTGTCAACAAAATTACTTCTTTCACTGAAATTAAAGACAATAGTCATGATTACAGACATTTTCAATTCAATAGCTGTTTAATGAATTGTTTACCACAATTCTAGAAAAACTTTCTTAAATAATAGGAACAAAAGACATCAGAAGTAAAAAAACAGAAAGCTGCTAATGTAATTCACCCGGAATTCACCTGTGACCAATAATAGTATACCACAGCTTACATTGAGGCATTTATTTTTTACTGCATAGTGCCCATAATGGCAATAAGATGACAATTGAATACCATTGGTATAATTATAACAGTCCAACAACACATAGTTTTCTTGGATAATGAAATGACTTGCAGTCAAAATTCAATGGATGTTCTCTTTTTGAAGGGGCTTCAAAATTATAAGACAAGTTTTTACTGTTTAAAGAATGGATATATACATATGCTGTATCAAATCAAAAGTATAACAAATTCAATAATATATGGCAGCTGTCATAAACTATATCCAGAATATAGATCAAGAGGTCAAAGGTCAAAATGTCATAATTAACAGAATAATTAGAGCTAATCTTATATAACATTACTAGACTAACCTAATGTTAAATAACAGGTGTAAGACATGACATTAACTAGTTTCTAACTGTTAAAAACTGCTATTGTAATACAGAGGAAACAGAGCCAGCAAGGAATACAGCTCTACAAGGAATGCTGCTTGACAGCATCTTTGTTCCTGAATCCTATTGATCTAATGAAGACAGTCTAAGGCATGACATTATGCAACATTTTATTTTCTGAGGACATACCTCTTCTCTTTCCAATACATAAGAACATTTGAAGAATGTTCAGAGCCTCAAATAGGCCTGCTTTTTCAAATTTCTTGTCACATTTTTATTAGCCTATTCAGTAATTTGCTTTTAACAAACATTATAAAATTTATGCAGGAGAACCAATTCCACTACTCAGAGGTTAAAATTGCTTTTATTTATTAAATGGACAGATTCACCATTTTCAGGTCTTGTATATAGTCTCCCGAAGTACTAGAAATGTACTACCCTCAAACTAGGAATTTTTCTTTCTATTTCTATATATTATAGGACAGTCAAGAAAAGAAGATTCGCCTTTTTAACTTTCAAACACAGAGCTGTGAACACTATTACCGGTACTAATTAGCTTAATTAATAAATTCCTGTTTCTGAGACTAGATTTGTCAAAAAAGTGGCAAACCTATCCCTTAAAGCAACTATCTTTGACCAATGCAGCATGAAAATTAATTTGAGTCTTCAACTCCTTTAGAATGACTATAAATTCACAAGGTTTACTGAGCTTTGACTGTCTACCAAAATATTCTGGGAATTAACATAGTTTTAACTTCCCATGTTCACCCCACCCTTATTATTGAAGTACACCATGACACGCAAATATAATTCTTAAGATGACTCATAAGTCAAAATGCAAGCAAGCTAATCTGCTGATCTAAAATGATGTATCAGTGAATGGTGCTAGCACGATATATTGGTAAATCAATGTGTACCTTGCAATACAATATGTCACGATATGTGTATGTGTATTGTGTGGTCGTGTATTTGACGATACCAGGCCTTCTAGGACACATGTATAAGTTTACACAGTATATAATATAAATAACTAACGCAAAAAATATTAAAGGGACAGGTTGGCCGATTTGGGGGATTGCTTTGGGTCTTGAATAAATATAAATTTTATGGTCTTCAGAAGTATGGTACTAGAAATGTACGAAGATTGCATAATTTATTCAAAAATACCTTAAACTAGGAATTTCAATTTCTATTATATGTTTTTCTATATATTCCAGAGTCTCAACAAAAGACGAGTCATCATTTTAACTTTCAAATACCAGACACACATTGATACAAAGGCTCAAACGGTGAGCTGTGAACACTATTACGAATAGCTTAGCTAAAAATTTGCATTTCTGAGACTAAGGTACGATTGTTCGAGCCGATGGCTAACTCTTTAAATTTGTGATAATGAGAGATGTATAACTGTAAAAATCGTGTAAAGATCTAGCCTGCGTTTCAATTATAACTGTTATAAATACTACAGCAGACTTCCTTCATAACTTCTTTTCACAAAATTGATCACAAGAAAAAAGGTGAAAATAAACATTAGTCTAAGAATCATAAAGAGTGACAAATAACACCTACTCGCGTTTCACACTTAGTTTGATTTTCTGCGCTACAAATGACCAGGTTTGGAAATATATATGTTTCGTTTTTTTTCTACAGTACTTATCACTTAGTTAATTTAACTTACATTTCATATTGCTACGTAATGTTAGTGACATATTTTACAACATATTTAAATTAGTGACATATGACATAAATTAATAATTTTATGTATTACACAGGATTAGGAAGAGGGATTAAGCTTATCCATCATTAAGAAGCAAGGAGTTAGTAAACAGTAGCATTCGTGATAGGATTACAACATTCAGAAATTGTATTAATCAATTAACAAGATTAAAATCTTAAGAACAACAATGGATATGGTTACGGATATAGACTTCTATTTATTATTGAGCACAACGTTTCATTACACATGTAACGTTATCAAGTGATTAAAATCAGTTCTTGAAAGAAGAATGAGTTTGAAGACTATCATCTTTCCTAATGCTTTTGATACTGATATCTAATTTGCTAATTAACAACGGCACTGACTGGAGTTTGAAAGGAATAATGAGTTTTTAGAATTGAGATCTTCTATGATTAAATAAAAGTATTGTAAAGGTTTTTGTTGTGGTTTAATATTCATCACTTGACATCGATTCATGGAAGTTGCCATTTTCCATAATGACACGAAGTCGTATCATGAACAGTAACAAAATGGTGGAATTTCAAGCTATGCAACTAATAAAATGAGCAGGTGTAAAAGATTTTTTTAGATGTTTAAAATAATTTTGAAATTTCGTGTCCTTATCTTTAATATCACATAAATTAAAACCTTGAACAGACTTGACTTAAAAATCAATATGGGAGGCATTGACCCCTGACCAGTTAACTTCAGAAACAACATTTAAATTGTATGGCCATCAAAATCCCAGTACAAAGAGTGCTAAGTACAGCAAACTCTTTTATAAATAACAAGGAAATGCAAACAAAGAACGTGTTCAACACGTGTGACCAAATAAATGAAACAGACATTAGCTTAAAGATCCTATGTCAAGATGGCCAAATAATTAAAGCAGCCTATAGATAATTTACACTACATTTTCAAAATAGACTATAACATAAAGACGAGTACCACTTTATGGAAACCGAACATATTCTTCTCCAAAACCTTTCCTACTGTCTTCAAGCAGTCAGTGAATGTGGCTTGAAACATGATTTTAGTTTAAGTTCACATGTATGAATTACATCACTGACATTAGTTAGTATTAATTATTATCAACAACACAGACAACAAATAAAATTGAAATATCCAAAACCTACGAATGAACCATTTTTCAGAGAACAAGAAATAATTGCCACTCACAGCTTGAAACTTTTGTCTAATTTCAGAATACATACGCTTATAATCCCCCTCTATAGTCAAATCTATTTAGTATTTGTAACTAAAAGACTTGTGTTTTGAAAATACAAATCTATTTGAACATTTATCAAATCGACAATCAAAAGTAGCCTACTACTGGGCAAGACTAAGCCTGACTAGGAACAACTTGAATCAATTTTGTAGTAAGTAATGTAACTGTAATGAAGGTCTTTAGAGTGATGATACATCACAATTATTAATTCATAATAGGTTAATGGGCTATAATAAGACTATAAATCTCACTTGACTGTAAAATAAAAAGTGAAATTACAAAAAGCCCAACGAAATGATGAATGAAATGACATCAGATCTACCCTACAAACTGGTCTCTCTGCTGGGTGTTGAACCTGGAAGAAACTGAATCTTATAGGTAGGTGAAGGCAACATGTTAGATTTAAGACAAGAATAGGTTCTGGGGTCTGAATATAAACACAAGCAAGGGGCATGAAATTGAAAAGCAAGCACATGAAAAATTTAAACAAAAAGGTGAGAATAAGATGACATAGCACTTGCTAATCATTCGACATTCCCCTTTCATCTGGTGTTCTATTCTACCCCCACACAGTATAATCCTTTTACTTACAGAATTATTTACTCCACAAGTCATCACATTAAATGTAAATTTTCATAAACAAAATTAAAATCCAACTGGAACTCGTTGAAGAATCAAGTTTGTTGGTACTAAACTTGGTTTGGAAAAACAACTTCAATTTTATTTTGTTAAAATTATTTCACTTCACGTCAGTTATCCACGATAAATACTTCCAATATATTCCAATTAATATATCCTCTGTCACCCAACAATATTGCAGGAATGAACTCAAAGCTTAGATCCAAAATACACCGACAATAAGTCCATTAAAGAACAGTTCCTCTATGACAAACGTGATATCTAACCAAAGTCAGTTTTCCCACAATGGCGGAAGAGTCAGCTTCATCACAACATGTGGCGCGTTAATAAATAAATCTAGGATAAAAGTCTGAGTTATTCGAGTGTCTATTGGTACATATCGTGATAGAGAATTAGACTTTATAATTTAAACTTTCATAAAATGCACCGATAATAAAATAACGTGTTTATTATAATGGACCTAGATTGTTGTGAACCGGCGGAGTAATATATCATCTAGATGCATGTTCGACCGCATTACCTTGCATGACGTCACTTGGAATGAGGTCAAAGAAGATTCCAATTAGGAGAAGAAATCAAGTTGATCCAGAAAACATATATTCAATAAAATTTCGATATGTAACATTACGACTTACCTTCACTTACACTCTTGAATATATAATATAATATGAAATCTATCTATACAAAAAGTATAAGATAACCAGACATATTGAAATCATTATCTCTCACCTGTTCACACTTGTATAAAATGGTAGGATCCCGGATCAATATATTTATTGAAAAGGGGCGTTATTAACCACTAGTAATTAAACATTGCCAATTAATTAAATCAGATCCAAATATTGATTATTAGAGAATCTGATTTGAAGTATAATCAATAAGTTGCCTTCTTTTGAGGAAATTATGGAAAGGGGCATGTAGAATTAAAACTGGGTCAGATATATAGAGACCTATCACCCCTGCTATTTATCAATGGTGGTAACTTGACATAGAAAACATTGACAATAAATAATTATTGTACATTTTGCTTTTCACAAGGCGGCGGCAAGATTAAAGTGAACTCAATTTGTTTGGCGGCAAACCAGTTATTTGATAGTTATAACCTACTTTCACTGGTTCACTTTATTTTAAAGCGGGCTTTATAAACGATCTTTATTTTTGTTATCCTGCAAGATGCAGGTCTTAATTATTCGACTGAAATAAAAAGTTCCCTTTTGTTTTAAAATTGAAATTTTCGAGAGATTTTGAAAATAAATTTTAAGCTACCGGTTAAAAAGGGTCCCTAAACAAGTTTTATATTCCGATCATTTTTAGCCCCCAATAAATGTTTTATTTCTTTTTTAATGGTTTTCAGTGGCCTTTAAATCTTTGAAATAGGAAGAATATAATACAGTCCAAGTTTAAAGAAATAGAAACGTCTAGCACTTGAAAGAGGTTTTCTAACAAAAAAAATATCGGGGAAACTGATAGCATCAATTTGCACAATTCTAATTTTTCATGACGTCACTAATCGCGAAGGGCCTTATATGTGATAAAGCATATTTTGCAATTAGTGACGTCATCAATCACTTAATTCTAGTGGAATTGTTGGAACCACACGTCTTATAGTTCTATGGTCTTAACTTAAATTGGAATGGTGCAAATTGATGCTACCGATGTCCCCGATACACATGTTTTTTTTTTAGAAAACCTCTTTACAATCGCTTTAATATTAGCGAGACCACCACCTTTAATAAAATTTTTTAAGACTTTCAATTTTTCATGAATGAAAATCCAACTATCGGTCCGCCCGAGGGTTCCGTAGACTGTGACGTCATCACATGGGAGAGAACTGATTCAGCAATGATAGAACAGCACTGAATGTATAAACGTCCACCTACGTTAATCCTCGCTGCTGGACATTGACCATTGCCTCAAAACCTGGTTCAAGCAAGTTCTATAATCCATTCAAAAGGAGAAAACTGTTGGAAGTCGTGATCGACAATAACCCACAGTGATGACAATAAATTGATTGAAAACAAATTCTATTTTAGTCTGTTTCTCGAGCCAGACACTTGAGATAAAGATAAAACTATTGCGAAAACATTTTCCTCTAGTTAAAGAGACAAATAACCAAAACACTTTCCCCTGTTTAAAGAGACAAATAGCCTAAAAAACTTTTGTTAAAGAGACAAAAAACCAAAAACATTTTCCTTTAGTTAAAGAGACAAGTAGCCCAAAACACTTTCCTCTAGTTAAAGAGACAAATAGCCTAAAACAGTTTTGTTAAAGAGACAAAAAGTCTCAACACTTTCCTCTAGTTAAAGAGACAAAAAGTCTCAACACTTTCCTCTAGTTACAGAGACAAATAGCCTTAACACTTTCCTCTAGTTAAAGAGACAAATAGCCAAAACACTTTCCTCTAGTTAGAGAGACAAATAGCCTAAAACACTTTCCTCTAGTTAAAGAGACAAAAAGTCTCAACACTTTCCTCTAGTTAAAGAGACAAAAAGTCTCAACACTTTCCTCTAGTTACAGAGACAAATAGCCTTAACACTTTCCTCTAGTAAAAGAGACAAATAGCCAAAACACTTTCCTCTAGTTAGAGAGACAAATAGCCTAAAACACTTTCCTCTAGTTAGAGAGACAAATAGCCTAAAACACTTTCCTCTAGTTAAAGAGACAAATAACCCAAAACACTTTCCTCTAGTTAAAGAGACAAATTACCCAAAACACTTTCCCCCAGTTAAAGATACAAATAGCATAAAACACCTTCCTCTAGTTAAAGAGACAAACAGCAAAAACATTTTCCTCAAGTTAAAGAGACGAATAACCTAAAACACTTTCCCCTAGTTAAGGAGAAAAATAGCCTAAACATTTTCTCTAGTAAAGAGACGAAT